AAAACGGGAGAGCGGACGCCTTTTGGGAGTCACATGGCATTTATTTACATAGACCAGGTTCATATCTTTCCTTTTTGATACTTCATTCCCAAGAGCTCATTTTTCTCCCCATGCTCTTCCCATTCTCACATTCATGACGCTCCTTCTCCATCCTTCCTTTTCTATTTCCCACTGGCTTTCTTATAGCTTTCCGTCTACTTCATTTTGCATCTTGCTGGACCCGGGTTCTTTCTCCTCTCTGATCTTTTTTTGCTGCGGTCCGGCCTTTTTTTCCATACCATCTCCCATTTTTCCGTTGTATCTCATTCGTCTCCTTTGTTGAAATCAACTACATGATTCTCTTCTCTAGCCAATTCAACTATACTAGGAAATAGTTCCCAATGTCGTCTCGTTATCTTATGGTTTTTGTTATTTTCCGTGTTTGCTCTTATGCTGATGAACCCGTGAGAATTATTCCATTCAAAACGAACGTCCATAATGCCATATTGTCTGTTGTGTCGCAAAGATTTATCTGATTTCGGTTCTCTGTTCGTGTCATTTGATTTACATCTCACCTGCTCCGTCTATCTTGCCGCTTTCTGTTTCATGTCCTGGATCTGGCCGATGAAAATAGGCCGATAGGTCTTCGGGTGACTACCTAGGTATGTTGTATGTAACTGTGCTAGCCATAGTCCGTAGTTATATCCAGCCTAGGTAAATAGACGCTGCTGAAAGCGAACTGTAGGGAGCTATTCTCTTGTGCTTTGTCTATTCCCGAGAAATCATTATCTACTTGTGTGATGAAAGTCGAGAGAGAGTGAGCTACAGTCCCAAGATGAGACTGAGCAGACATTGGACTGCAACTAATTATCTGATCACTGTTAGGAGAGACACTAATCGGGATCTTTTTCCGCATGTATAAAGATGATCGCGTGACGTCCAGTTCCGCCACATAGTGATAAAAGCTTCATTGCATATGATATATAGAACTCAAACTTGCAATATAAAATGAAGTTCAACACCACAGGTTGCGTCCGAGTAACTAAATAAATACAATGACATAATTGCCAAGGCTCACATGACCCGTCAAAACCCTCCGCGAAAGGCAAAAGACTGGCTCTTACGTCAAGGGCCTATAAGGGCTAACGCAATGCAACCTCCATCGCTTGCCATCGCTTTGCTTCGGGCCAGTGACAAAGAGAAACACGGTGTGCGTCTTTTTTTACTTTGTACGTATAGGGCAGGCAGATCCGGCCCGGATCATGATGTGGAATGCAAGGTGAGGGGGCAGAGGAGGCATGGATTGGGTGTGGTCCAATTGTAGTGATCCAGATCGGAAGAACCTACTATGTTCGTGTGACTATTTGTGGAAGTTCGAAATGACCAGTATATTATGGCATCGGACCCCCGTCGGTCCACGGGGAATCTTCCAAACTTCTGGGTTTTGTTTTTTTTTGTCTTCGGAACATCTTTAACTTTTTGACTTTAACCCCGGATTCCTCGTTATATATTCTTTTGCACCTGCCCTTGGGTTGTCCTTTCTCTACCATATTCCTAACTTCAATAACTCATACTTCAACTCTGCTCAACTCGATATGATTGCCGCAGAGATCCCCGCCCTCCCCGCAGGGGATTCCACAGATCTGGTCTTGGTCCCAGCCACAGCCTCAGAACGCATTGCCTCAATCAAGCTGAACAGCGTTGCCTGGAAAGGGCCACTGGATGTGGAAACATACATAGAACGCGAGAACCATCTCCTCCAACAACAGCTGACGCGCGACGGCCTAACCTGCTGGATCCTAGTGGATCGCAACGAGCCCGAGGACGAGCGCACAATTCTCAGCTCGTGCGAGTCGTACCGGAAGACAGCGCTGCTCGCACACGACGGCCAGACAGAGAAGGTTTCCACGCACGGCGTGGGGAGTGTCTACTGCCGGCCTGCTTTCCGCGGGAAGGGGTACGCAAAGCGGATGCTAGAAGAGCTAAGCACTAAACTCGAGACGTGGGAGATGGAGAAAGAGCCACGGCGGAAGTCGCTCTTTACGGTGCTTTTCTCGGATATCGGGAAGAATTTTTACGCTCAGTTTGGGTGGCGGCCGTTCTCATCTTCCCATATTTCTTTACCGGCTACTGCAGGTCAGCCGGAGAAGGCTGTTACAAGGGATCTATTTGCCGAGGATGTTCAGAAGTGTTTGTGCAGTGAGACTGTGCTTGCCAAGCTGTGCGAGCAGATGCGTCTGGCGTCGCAGAAGACGAGTGGTGCTAAGATTGCCATTTTGCCTAACTTTGACCACTATTTGTGGCATTGGGCTCGAGAGGAGTTTTATGCTGAGAACTTGTTTCCCAAACGCTCTCCACCTGTAGTCAAGGGCGCTGGTGATGACCAGGCCCGCGTGTATTGCGCTTGGAATCGGAACTTCGGCGAGGTGCCCGAGGATAACGTCCTCTATATTCTTCGGTGGCTGTATGATGAGCCCACGTCTCCGGCGGAGGAGCAGGCCACTGTCCAAGCTATGGCTGCTATGCTCCGGCGAGCACAACAAGAGGCGCACGAGTGGAACATGAGCAAGGTTGAATTCTGGAACCCTACTTCCCTCTTGCAGAAGGCTGTGGCTTTGGTGGACCCGAAGGCTGAGCTCGTGCACCGCGAAAAGGAAAGCATCGCCAGTTTACGCTGGACCGGCGAGGGGGAAGGATTGGGCAAGGACGTGGAGTGGTGGTTGAATGAGAAGTACACTTGGTGCTAATTATTCATTCGTTGGAGCATCATTTCGAGATTTGTTTCTTCGTTTGCTCGTGATTCTTCCCACTTCCTTTTTTGGAAGTCCGAGATCGGGGCGAGTTTGGGCGGCAGATATGATCGTGATGCGCGCATCATAGATTAGATGCCATGGCATTTTACGCAGCAAGTGCGTCAGTAGCTTTTTTTTTTTGCAATCAACGGCGGCCTTTGAGCAATTCATGCCAATTTCTGGTATTCTTAGCTTTCGCGGCTGTGGCTGGTGCAGAGGCGGTTTTGTTGGTTGGCTGCCGTTGCGAGGGTTCAACGAAGCAGATAGTCGTAGGGTCAGGACTGTTGTAGCAGCCATTCTGTAGTCCAAATCAGCTATTGCGATGCAGCTCATTTAGGAAAAGGTCAAGTTACCGGCAGTTTTGACAGGGCTGCCTCTCCTCTCCATGTCTCAGGCAGATAGTCCTTCCATGCGCGAAGGAATTCACTTCTTCCAATAGCAGACGACACAGTCGGAGCGGCAGCAGCCAAGTATGTCTCGCCAACCCATTGCGTACATTCAATCTTATCAAAGCTTGCCCCTAAAGAACAACACAATCATTAGCCATCCCGATACCTACAACATCCCATCATCTATTTCGACTCACATTTGATATCATCCGCCAAAGGCGGCCGCTCATCTGCGATGCAGATGCGCCTCACAACAGCCTCCAGCAATCCACGTGGGAACGGCGGCTCCATTTCCTCCTCATCATCCAAAACAGACTTCCACAAGTCCCCAACGAGAAACTGCTTCTCAAGATCAATACCCTGCAAAACAGCGCCCTCGACTAACCGCTTCCAAACAGTCAATCGAGACCGCGCGGAGGGCCGCCAACACGCCACCTCCTCGGCCCCATCCACAAACGCACAAAGCTGCATCCAGCCCTGTTCGCACTGTGCCGTTGACACAGGGATATCCTGACACACATTCTCCCTGACAGTGCGCATCTCCTTGAACCCCAGCGGGCTTGTGGAGTCAGCAGAACCGCCCATCGCTATGTCCCCGTCATCGTCGCTGCGCCGGTCATACAGCCGCAGACTCTTCTCCAGGAACGGGATGGCTGAGAATCCTCCCGGCGGGATGTGCAGTTCCAGTGTCGAGGAACACTTCGCAACGGCCGTTACAGCTTCATCTGGGAGGTTCAATGCGCCGCTTTCGCCGGCTTCTTCTTCAACGACTTTGATGTCTGCTTGGGAGATCTCGCCGTGGCTTGGGCGGAGGATGTGTAGGGAGTTTGAGGATTGGACTTGGCGGATGCGGTAGGTTTGCGTTGGTGTGCATAGGTTGACGTAGTCGTTGGCGGTGGGGTCGACTACTGCTTGTGCGAGAGCTGTAGAGGGCGACTTGAGTTCGAGTCTGGGTGTCGCGAGTTAGTCAAGGGCTGCCAATCTGGGTTTATTCCGAGCATGGCAGCGAGCAATTTGCTTCTGGTCTGCTTGGACTCCTGTTCATTGCGTCAACTTACACAGGTGCATCTTTCGATGTCAGTAGTTCTTCCAGCTCCGGGGTCAGCTCTAGTAACCGGAAGCCTTCCTGGGGGCGAAAGTGTGTGAAAAGAATACTGCTCGAGGCTTGAGTAGACATTGCAGGCTTACAATGTGCATAGAGTATGCAAGTCGAAGACGAGTGAGAATCGGGGAAATGCAGCATCGACTTCGGACGCGTTGACGCGAAGTGGAGACACACGGACCACCGCCTAAGAGGTATTCGGCTTCATCCGAATGTCTTCATTTGAGCCCTGGGGGATTATTTATGTTGGTTATATTGTTAGACCAATCAAATAGCCACATATTACACATAGAATATGGGGACCTGTGAAATCGACGCCGAAAATGACAGCTTCTGGCGTCAGAAACGGCCGTCTTTCCACCCGTAACTTTGGACGGCGAGTTGCCGCTTGACCGCCCGCTGCCCTGTACCGCCCCCTATTCTGCACCCAACAATATGGGGACACCCGGGAGCGAATCAGATCTAAAGGAAGGGAGAAAGATGGCCCAGACAAAGTAGCAATATGATCATACAGAGGCCCACAATAGTCAAGTAACGTTACAAATAGAATAGTCATCAGCATAAACACGTGAGACATCAGCAATTAAGCCCGAATATTATAAGACCCTGGCTTGAGTCTCGAGCAGCCACGCACCTCCCCAGAAATCTTTCGAACCAACACGTCCTTCGTGAGTATAACATCGTCTTCCATGATGTCTGCTGCTTGGTGGCCAACGAACATATCAGGATCGAAACGACTTATATGAGACTCTGCTCACTCCAGATATCCTCGGCAAAACTTCTCAGCTCTTGCTCTGGTATCACTAAGTCTTTCTCCAGGGGTTGGTGAGGAGGACGGCCAACAACCTTGTCGAAGGGTAGATCTAGCTGTGTAGTAGTCATAGTTGTGCCATTAATGTAGGACTCTCCGGTAACAGATGTCGTGTTATTCGTTCGAGATAATTTGAGGAATGCAGTACAACGCGCTGAAAGAGGGGATGACCTTGTAAGGACGCTATATCCTCGGGGAACAAGTTCCCGTAGGTGCAAGATGATCTCGGGTCTTTTGCGTTGAATGCTGATCGTAACCACAACTTTCACAGATGAGGAGTAAGTCTCAAGCCAACCGCGTGCATCGAGAGCAAGTTGTCGCGCAGACTCCGACAATCCTACTTCAACCACAAAACTCAGTCTTGCATTTGTCGAAGCCGGAGCCCAGCAGCAGTCAGCCTCCTTTTTCCAATTTCCAACCGCAACTGTTGTCGAACCGAAAGGCCTCACGTCACGATGGACGTTCATCGCACGCAGCTCGAGAGAGATCAGCGAATCAAATGATCTTATTGCAAGTTCATGTGCAGGATTTGGCGTGACTTTCGCAATCAAGGTTCCCGTTTTTGTATTAAAAAAGAATCGACTGTACTTACTTGTTCGCGACCGATCATCACTCAGTCTGGAAGATTGCGCCCGGGGGACAGACGTGAAGACGAGGTACTGATCTCGAGTTTTGTCTTGCTGAAGCGCTCGTTGACGGCGTTCCAAGGACTTTTGTAAGCTCTCTTTAGTGGTGAATGGCTGCTGCTGCTTCACTTCCTTCGCCAGTTGCGCAAGAGGATCCTCAGATTCGGGTCCGACTGGCGAGAACTCAGAAGACGAGAGCTCAGAAGATGAAGACTGAGACTCGTTCGAGATGGATCGAAGGAAGTCCATGGTGGGTGGGAAGTGAGAAGGAAGTGAGAGGGCAGGCAGGTAAATTAGGCACTCACACTGATAAAAGGAGAGAGGCGGTAAAATCCCTTTTTGCCTGTGGTTGTTTCGATCGCTGCAAGAGTATGGAGGAGGAGGTGACGTACGGCGTATTGGGGCGCTAACCCTGAATCGGCAAAACTAACCGGATATAGTAATTCACAGGTCCCGATATTACATCGTCTACATGGGAAAGTTGCTTTGCACATTTTACACTTCTTGATACATCTTCTACATTTTGTGGCTAATACATTTTGTATTTCCAGCTAGAACACCAGCAAGGGGACGAAACTCCCAAAGAGAAAAGACAAAAATACTTTTGAGAAGTAACCTAAACAGAAAACGTAGGATAATCTTAAATAAAACGTTCTTTATATCATCTTAGTCTAGAATAGAGACCACATAAGCGGACTATTCTTGTATGTGTTGCTCTCAATGGCCAAATTATTGATCTCCATAACACGCCAACCACTATATTCCAGTTTGACGCCGTGGAAAGAGAAATGTCGCCCAAAGATATAAAAGACATGTGCAAGAAACAGAACAAGAATGAAAAGTAAAGCTCCTACACTTGCAGAGCTTGGGCATAAATATGCCCTAATCTAAACAGACAAATAGTCTTCCAGGGAGATGAGACATTCAAGTCGCATGTGAGAATGCAATGCATAATCCAGCCGGCTGGATCAAAGACGCGGTGAGGGAAAGCCAGTCGAGGATCATGGATTTGCTTTCTCGGCTTGGTCGACTGTCTCAGCTTGAGCTTTCAAATGACCCTCAGTAGAATCCATGGCGTCTTTCACGGGCTGGCTAGCCGGGCCTTCAGCAGAGCCTTGTACTTCTTCCCCTTTCACAGTCTGATCGTTACCTACGGACTCGTACTGGGTGCTATCCTTTTGCTCGGCTCGCTCTTGTTCTTCTTTTTCGCGCGCCAGTCGCTCCACCTCCATTTGCTCCATATGCCGGAGGTCATCGACGCTGGGCTCGTAGAGATGCCAGATAGTATAGTGTGGCAGCCCAATCACCGAGAACTTCATCCGTTTAGCCATCTAGGCAACATTAGCAATTATAACTACCACCTCGTTGACTGCTGTCTTACCTTGCCAAACCCTTCCGTCTCGGCATGCTTCTCGAAACTGAATGCTGGGAAGTGCACACCAGCACGGAAAACCCGTGCCTTGGCCAGGATACTGACACCTCCGATCCCGTCCAGCTCCATCTCCATGTCTGGATCGCCGTAGGGATCGCGGAGGTAGGCAAGATGGGGTCTCCATGTAGCGTACTCGGCATATCCTTCCACGATGACAGCGTCCTCGTCCAGGGTATCCGCAAGCGCCAAAGCAGTCTCGGATTCTTGCCAGGAGTTCAGATCGTAAGGCTGCTCTCCGCCAAGCCAATCTGGAAGCGGGCGCCAAACATCTACAGACGAGGCCAATTAGTCTAGATCACAAAACTCAAGCAATATTCACCACTCACTGGGTACCGTAACATCCTTGTTGTGTCGCATTAGATCCTCAATGATTGTGAACGGAGCAGTCTCCACGTCCGCATCTCTCCAGTAGACCCAGCTGTGGGTTGGGCGAAGCGTTGCACTCAGCAACCAATTCCTCGCCTGCGCCATCAGCTTTCGTCGGCTGGCCTGCGCCTCGAATCCGTGTCGACTTTCCACGTCCTGTTGCACTTTCTGTCCGAAATCCTTCTGGATCACGGAGATTTCTCCAAAGGGCATTTTCGGATCTGTGGCATTTTGTGTTTCCTCCAACATACGCGACAGCATGCCTAGGGTATCATCCCGAGAGTCCGATACCAGGAATGCCAGGTCAATTAGATGGTGGGGGTATGTGAGGTTTCGAAGGTGCGAGAAAAACATCGGGAGGTGCGACGAGGCATCTCGGAGCGGGGTGCACATCAGGACACGCTCTCCGCGTTCCCAGCCCTTCTCCGTCCCTTGCACTTCCGATAAATCATAGTACCGGACCGTCTGTAGGTGTAGATCTCCGGGGTAGGAGATAAGGCCGAGCGAGATGGTGGGAAGGATGGCGGCGCGCCAGGATGGGAAGATCAAGAGGAAGAGCACTATTGACACACCGCCAAGGAGGCAGAGGCGCTGGATGAGCTGCCGGCGTCTCCGAAGGGCAGGTTGCGAGCGAGGCTGGAACCTGGAGGCGCATACTAGTCAGTCTCGATCTCAAGCTTCATGATCTGGCATGACGACAGGGCTGAACGCTCGGACAATGGGAAAGGGGCCACTTAGATCGGACTAGGTGGTTTGGCTTACCTGTTCGGTGAGATTGAAAATGCAGAGCCCCTGGGGTAAGCAGAGTGGCCCTTTTCGAGGACGTGTCGGTTCATCACTGCGGGCGCTGTCACAAGCCGTTGGGGCGCTTATGCCGGGGGCCAAGAACTGATATAGCGGCCGGAGACCTTGTGACAACCCCGATTTTAAAGGCCAGACTTGGAAGGCTTAAATGGAAGAAAAAGAAAGTCGGAAGGGTTGAAATATCAAAAAAAAGAACAGAACAGAAGCGAAAGGACCCCGGAAGACTTGGTGGTGAGGTGATCGAAGGTCTCGCAGCTGTTGCGGTCTTCACCAAATCCGGTCATCCGCTTGCAATCATCGTCGGAATTGTACCTGGTTTCCACCTGTTATAGGCAGTTTATAACATGATCTAGAAATAATTGAAGTAAATAACAGATTAAATAACAGATTAAATGCTTTGGCTGTGCCAGTTCGCTTCGCTAATTTCATATAAAAAAAAAGTATTCCCCCAATGCTAAAAATGTGTAGATGTCCGTCCCTTCACAGTGAAAGCGTAGGAGGCGAGATGACGCTTAATTGAGGTGGAATAGGAGGAGAATCCACCTCCTTTGTTTCCACCTCTATCATTTGCATCATCTGTATTAATAATTTGTTGACTTTTTCCCCATCACGCAGGCTCGGCAAGACGGATGCGGCTTCGTACTCGCTGTCGAGAATAAAGTAGCGTTCCTTTTGCCAGTTCTCCACCGTGTCGATGTGGAATGCAACTCTGGCGATTGCCTTGGCTGGAACACTGGCCTTGTTCATGGAGCTTCGGGATACCATACGCAGGAATGGCCGAAGCCCGGACCGAGTCTGGTGTGCGACTCTGACCGACATAGGCGCCCCGGTCCGCAGATTACTCTGGCCAGTGATGCCTCCTGGATCCAGGGTGAAGATGTCAAGCGATATATGGCCGGTCTATAATTAGATTTATTAGTAAACTGTACGAGTTTGCATTGGAAATCGAGAGAATGACTCCGATCAAGTTCACTTACCCAAATCAGGCTCCGTCTCAATGCATATAATGCAACACTCGCCATTAACTTGCTGCTCCCAAAACGAATATTCTCTTCCTTTGCACTCAGCGCAGTTCCTGGTTGCCTCCCGTTTCTTCCATGGTCGCGGTCGAAGTAATCCAATTCCCCGGAAGATGTCGCAGAACAGCCGATGAGGATCACCTTCGCTCCGCCTTTTGGTGTACCATCTCCAGCCCGGAAAGCCTCGAGCAGTCCCACGGTCAATAAAAATGGAGATAGGCAATTTGTCTGATACACCGGGTCGTAGCCGTCTGATGTGAGCTCATCAATAACGTAAGACGTAGCGACAGCAGAGTGAATCAGATTGGTCACAGGCGGAATGTCTCTGGAGCGAACACGAGCGACGGTAGTTTTGGCGAAACATGCCACAGATTTCAGATCGGTCAGATCAAGAGTGAGAACCTCTATTGACCTAGGGCCGATCAAACGGATCTTCCCCATCAGTTCCCGAACATCGTCGGTCCTTATATCCCGTGCCGTCAATAATAGATGAACGAAAGGTTGCTTCTTCGCGATCTCGATGGCGATCTCTGAGCCCAAACACCCATTTCCACCAGTGATAATGACTGTTTCTGTAAGTGGTGTACCCATGTCGCCGGCTTTTGGTTAGGCAAGAATTTCCCGAGGTTATAAACGTCGGTAGGGTTCCACAGTAGAAAAGAAAAAGTGATCAAGCACTTGTAATGCTGGGTACTCGGTTCCAAATATAGGGATGACAGAAGACAATAAAATATTGCGCGACAAAGGGAACTTGAACTAAAAAGGGGGTTGTCCAAGCGTAGCCCAAGCGAAAGGTGTTATATACCTAAGAGGTTGGATCGAAAAATTCTCTAACCCGCCCCATCCCTATGGATCCATGCAGTAGAATGGGCCAATGAATTATATCAGACATTAGCGGTGTCTGTCTCAGCTCACGGCTGAGGCGTGTTTACCACAAAACGACGATATTGACGATATTGGATCAATCAGATGCGAACACTGGGGACGTGCTGCCTCCCAAGGTTAGTGCCAAATAACGAATGGCCTAAAAGCCTATGATCTTCTTCATGCGTGGCACAGCGACTAAATTTTTTTACGGAGTACTGCAAGGGTACTCCGTAAATGTACTCCGTAAATGCCGTAAAATTAGAACATAAGGAGACAATGGATCGACACTGCTGAAGTAGGTTAGTTCGCACCATTGGCGTCCTTGTGCCGCAAACCCATCTCGAATCTCGTACCCGATCAACATCGACCATGGAGTCATGGACCCCAACCCCGACTAAAGATCTGGGCAAGGTCTCGATCCCACGTCCATAAATATCCGGGACATTGCCCGGATCTTTAGCCAGGAGGCGTCAACTAAAAACACACTCATTCCCCACTGCCAGCAATGCCCCCAACACTGTCAGCCAGCCAAGGGCCTAGGATCACCCCACGCTATTCGTACTATTGCGTGCTGCGAAGTAATTATAAGAATTTATAATCGATCATTGCCAGATCTGGTTGAATGCGGCTGCGTGGACGTTTCGTGGAATATAAAAGGAAAAGGAAACGAAGCCAAAACAATTGCAGTTTCAGACGAAAATAGCCCCAAAAAAATACAAAATACAAAATACAAAATCAAAAATCAATGGCGCCACCCGACCGGGGGCTGCAGGGCTAACAGCCCGCGGACAGAGCGATGTGTCACGTCATTATATGACCATGGCACCTGTTGTGATAGTTCCAAGATTATATATAGTTATTAGTTTATATATGTAACCTGGTTTAGGGTTACATTCCAAAATAATGAATATCGCCAATTAGTTAGAGCTTTAACCGAAGTCCTTTGTTATGTTAGTTAGGTTTTATCTTTATTGGTCATGGGTCAAATATATTGGGTGTATTGCTAACGATTTAATCACTTGATTAGATCCTAACTAGATCCTAATGACCGAACTGCGTACTCGGGCGAGTTTGAGAACCATAAGGGGGCTGGCTGGGCTGCCGTGGTCTTTTTGTGTTGATCTTCATTATCAACTTTGCATATTCCGTACGCACGGGGTAAATCCAATTTCTGACTTGGACTCTGACAGACGCACTAACAGAAGCAGGCCCCGTCGCGTGGATTGTCGTGTCGGAAGTTTTCCCTTTGAGTATGCGCGCCAAGGGTGTTAGTATTGATGGAAGTAGCAACTGGATATGTGCACTTCATTGCGTCTTATACAGTTCTGACAGGATGCTAGCTCAACAATTTCGCGGTCGGTTTGTCAACTTCCCCCTTTATCGAAGCCTCTGATTACGGTACCTTCATCTTCTTCGGCCTGGTGACCACCATTGGTGTCCTCTATGTGTGGTTCCTCGTCCCCGAGACCAAGGGTCGCACACTGGAAGAGATGGATGAATTGCTCGGATCCGGAAGCATGGCCGTTGAGGACGAGGTCCTGAAGCGTCGCATCGAGAGGGAGATTGGCTTACTGGCTTTATTGGGCGAGGACTCGGACTCGAGCGAGAAGACATCCGAGAAGCTGGAGCATTTGGATCATCGCGAGCGAGCTGAGCTGCCCAAGTCTGCGAGCTCGTAGTTGTTGTATTACTCTAGCAGAAGCATCATATGTTGATGTTTCGACCATCGCTTGAAATGGGGGCTGCACCTATACAACACTATGGTATACGTTTCGGCTCAGTGGAATGTAATAGACAATACAGATAGTCACAAACATTCAGCATTGTTCAGATGTTAATAATACGATCGTACCCTGTCAATGCTCCCGTTACACCTGAACATGATGAGAGGTTCTGACTACGAGGGAAGAAGTGATCAACCAGATGGCAAAAGATGATGTTGATGGAAGATGCGAAACTAGCTACTGTACTGAAGCCTGTCTATATAGCTTCGTACTACAAAGCAAGCCAGATTCCATCCACCAGAACACAGAAGAAGCATCTCTGCAGAGACACAAAGGAAAGCGCCGATGCGGCAAGCTGCGCGTTTGCCGGTGAGCTGTCTGTCAGAGAAGAGAAAGAAAGCGAAAGGAATGCCACACAGAAGGTCTACAAGCTGCATGGGGCGACAGTGAGCACCTCAGAATGCATCAGAACATCATTCATTCATTTTGATTGAAACAACACCAGTATGTTTGGAATACACTCAATAGTCTTATATACCTCGCCAAGTAGAAACTTATTTTCAACTATCTCCTATCTCGAGTGCGCCGGATATCTTCACTATCCGGTGACTGGACACTGTGTCTTGGTGGATAGCCTTAGGATAAAGAAAGAGATATTGCCGGTGAATCCGTGACGAATCCAAGTAACCAAGTATATAGAATAGGGATGCGTCTGAAACACGGATAAATGGAGTGTATTTAGCCTGAATTCAACCATCAGGGAACTCGAGTTGTATCCGTTTACTATTGTGCCGAGGTATGTCCGATGAGCTTTAAGCATGATTACCTAAGGCTCGAGACGACCGCAAATAATATAAGTCTAGATGCTTTGGTGTCATATAGCTAGTCAATATTTATACGAGATAGACTGTATTTAAGAAAACGACGAGTGAGAGCGCCTATTGAATATTTCTCGTGAAGCTATGAAGTCGACTAGGGGTAAGACATACAGAACATTTGAAAAGCGTAGCAACGTTTCTTTCAGCAATAGCAAATCCTCGTTAGACCATCTCCGACCAGTAAACCCAAGCGTGGCAAATAAAGATGCTTCGAGCATAGCAGGAAGTTTTCCCGCGAATCAAACTTCATGGCAGCCATCGGCCCGCGATAATTCCGGAGTGTGATTGTCGATGATTGGCGTCTAACCACCCTCGTGACGAACCCGTACGCGCGAAGGGTAATGCCTGAATATGGCAAACATCTCCGGTTCGTCAAGACCCATGGTGTCCTCCTCACATGCTTGCATCAACTCAAAATCCACCATTGTTACAGCATTGGTTTCCGGGTCATACAAGACATTATGCATCCCGGAGTCGATAATAATGATTGACGCTCGCCTGAGGACCTTGATAGCCTCGTAAATCTCCGAACGTATGTGCTCCTTGACGCTTCCAGAAAGTTGGTTCCATTGTTTGTCGAGTCGTTCCCCATCAACCTTTGTCATCACAATGATATAACCCTGGGGAAAGATCGAAGAGCAACAGATCTTGCCGATGCTTAGTAGTGAGGGGAAAAAATGGAAACCAGCTGGACGTTGCGCATGGATGTTCTCATACGTCCTCGCTTCGTCAGCAAACCTACAGAACAAAAGGATTAGCGATTGAGATACTATGCTACGAGGACACAGCAACAGACCGTTCGACTCTAGACGGTGACCAGCATTTCGCGATGGCCGGTTTTCCATCCCATGTGACTTCATAAATCGCCTTGGCGGAGGATTGCTGGATAATCCTCTTGCAATTTACGAACGTCGTTGCAAGACCGTCAACGGCCCCGTAAAGGATTGACGACGAGCCAAGCTTGTCCGATATCTCCTCCTTGGTGCCGATTTGGTTCCGGAAAGCGGATGAACGGACGGACGCTTGGACTGAAGGGCCCGTCGGAATGCGGAGCTAGGGTCTGATGTTAGGAGATTGCCGCTATTATAACTGGAAAACTCACCTGGGCGATGTTGAAGTCAGGAGGTTCAATAAATTTCCAATCTTTGGAAGCCATTACACCTAGCGCCAAGAAGCATTGCCGGAGACTGGGGTTCGATGCGTCTCTTGCAATCGGTACCGACATGTCAAAGTGGTAAGGAGCCGTTCTGCGAATGAAGACCGTCCAATTGTATGTCGACAAAAATCCAAACTTAAGCTTACTCGACCGCATGTACTTGACGAGTTGGGCTGAGGAACCGTTAACAGGGTCGTAAATAAGGTTCAACTGGACTTACCAATGTGATGCTGGATGCCGACTAACCGTTGATAGCCGTCGCGAATGGAATAGTCCTCAAGTTCAACTGTCCAGAAAGACTTGAGTTCTCCGACAGCCGCTGGGCGAGGTGATTCCGTTGTGTTGAACATAGTGATATCAGGCACTTGACTCGTGTCCGTTGGCCTTGCAGAGGACTGATAATCACCGAACTTCAAGTGGGAGAGGCAAGTAGTGGCAAACACTTTCGAAACTGGGTCACAGACATTCTTGGAGAACCTTCCGGTCAAACCAAGTCCGCTTCCAACGACGTAGCTTTCTGACACATCATCCGTGTAAGGCACAGGATGGCTAAGATCTAAAGAGTCGGATGCCTCGAGAACATCCTGTTTAAAGCTCTGCCATTCATGGAAAAACCGTAACGAGATAACCTCAGATGAGTTGGAGACATAACGCGTACCATTTATCTGGATGAGGGGAGGGACAGGTCGCAGAATTACTTCCGCCGCGGTCTCCATGACGGAGGCCCCAGAAAGTAAATCTGACATGGTCAGTGAAACGGCTTCGTTGATAGGACGATGACAGGACGGAAATTGAGGGAAAAGCGGGTGGTGGAGCAAGGGGAAAAGAGATATACTTTTACGGATACGGCTTAGTCGATAGTTATGAGCCCGATTCGCACTGGATTACATAGTACCGGATCTCAGACGAGAAGTAAGGTCCGACTTCCGAAGGTTCGCCCCGATCGAGCTAGACCATCCCCCCATTTATATCGCGTAGCTAGCGTGCATAAAGGTTGACGCACAGTCCGAGTTATGTTGAATATTACGTAAATAAAAGTCATAAAAATCAATTCAAAATTGAAATATGTATACCATATGAGCTAACCGCGTGATTCATGCAGAAATGTCGACCAGGATCTTCACATGCTTATCTTTCTCCTCGATGAGGGCTTTGAATCCCTTCTCATCAATATCCTCCATTCGGATCTTACTAGTGATCATCGAGTGAGGCTGAATGCCGCCTATATCAAAGAAGCGAGAGATCAGCAGAGAGTATCTAATTAGGAAGTAAAAACAAGAGACTGGGTAACGTACCGGAAGCAATCTGAGCAATCACAGCTTCAAAGTCTCCATCATCATAAAGAGCAGCTCCTGTGACATGCTTCTCCTGGAATACGAAGGCAGAAGCATCAATAGTAGGCTTCTTTTCCCACAAGGAAACGACGATCGTCGTGCCACGCGCCCGGAGACCAGCGATCGCAGTATTGAGCCCAGCCTGAACCCCGGAACACTCGAATGAAATAGCTGCACCTACGTTGTCTGTCAAGGCAAGTACCTGTGCAACCACATCCACTTCAATAGGATTAAAGACCTCACTGGCGCCCAGGGCCAGGGCAAATTCACGTCGCCGCGGAGAGACCTCCGCGGCAATGATTGAGGTAATACCTTTGGCTCTCAGTACTTGGATGATAGCCAAACTGATTGGTCCAGCCCCAACCACAAGTACCGTGTCGCCTAGCTGCAGAGGACTGCGGCTTACGGCATGCCATGCGACGGCAAGAGGCTCCACCAATGCTGTATCACCACCACACCCCGTCAGCGCTGAAACAGGTAGAACACAATTGAACTGGAAAATATTTATTCTTACCACCAACGTCGAGGGGAATGGAGTCAGGTAGCAGAAGTGCATGTCTGCTGTCCACGACTGTGTGGTCCGATAGACCACCTGACTGACCTTGTGTAGCTGTCAATATCGATACATAGCTACAAGACTTAGTATGGCTTACTGCTGAACCCGATAAATCCCACTTTCTCACAACAATTGAACCTGCCCACTGTACAGTTCGAGCATGTGGAGTCGTAGAGGTTAGGCTTCACTGCAACCCGATCCCCGACCTTCAACCCTGTAACGCCTGAACCGACTTCTTCAATTGTACCACTGAACTCATGGCCCAGTGTTGTTGGTAGCTTTTGGTCTGTCAATGGGTGCGGGGTGGCAGGGACGATCGTTGGGCCAGCAAGATACTCGTGGATGTCTGGGTTGGATTAGAAATGGCTAGTCAACGGTGGGTCGCAAATTACTGACCGCTGCCACATATTCCGACAAAGGCAGGTCGAATCTGTTAATATCAAGGTTCGTTGTTAGATATTGGAGGTAACGCTGCGAACGCTAGAAATAAGAATGCTAAGCTTACCTTGACCTGACCATTACCACAAACTGGCTCTTCGATCTCATCAACGCGGATATCACCTCGTCCATGGAAGCGTACAGCTCTCATGATGAATGGATTTCGGGTTAAAGGGTAAGTATGTTTGTGTGGAACGGACCGAAGAATGAAGTTTTCGATGGAAATAATGAGAGATTCCAGAGTTAGAATTTTTACTGGTATAAAGAAATGTCCTCATTAAATATATGCGAGTGATACGATCGGTTAGGCATACCCGGAACGGCCCAGCGGAATTAGGCACAAAAACTATGTACAACATAGTCTAATGCAAGTTTCTTGATATGTTTACCTTTCACACTCCGTATATGGCCGCTATACAAAAGGTTTACGATCTCTTCAAAATCACATTGCTCAACCATAATATCAAATAGATACTAAGTAAACGAAGCTTTCGAGTATATAATGTGAGAATCCCATTATTTAGGGATTTCTGAAAAGGAAAACGTGCTGTCTAGAGAGGGGTCCTTCAAAGTGCGATCCCTTTTAACATAATAACAACATAGACTCTTTAAGAGGCTTATGTTTTTTTTCCCGAATCTTAAAGTAACCTCGATGTTAATATTGTCTTATCTCCCTTCAATCTGCTTAGGAAATATCACTTATAAATCTTTTTGACATATAACCGTGATGGCCCCATACAAAAGGTACCTATGTCAGGCATTAGACTATGTAGTTTTTGCATTAGACCTGTGGGGCCCAACTCGCGCTGGGCTGTGCATTGGGCCGGGGTATTGTACCCAACCCAATAACCGGCCCGGGTTCTAGTAGACGGCCCGGGTTCCAATGTAATACAAAGCCAATTCCGAGGTGACCAGCTCTGAAATGACCTCCGTAATAACCTTAGAACTACCCGCTTGGTTCTGACGCTACAGGCTCAATATGCCAGTGCTTGGGGAAATGCAGATACTCTCTACATTTACACATCTGATAGTCTGGCTGATATCTCAGCCTCAGAATCATGTGTTAATGCCATGGTCAGCAATGTTTCGTGCTATGCAGGCTTGAGCCAGGCAGTCACCCAGACGACATCATGGTCAACCAGTGCACTTTCAGGAATTTGCACCACTGATTGCTCCTCCGCTTTGTCCAGCTATGTCTCCTCTGTGAACGAAGCCTGCGGTACAAGTACTCAGTACAACATTTCTGGCATCTCGCAAACTGCCTCGGACAGAGGAAAAGAAATGCAATGGCGTTATGATGCAACCTGCTTGACTGATTCGGCTTCGGGCGCCTATTGCAACACCCTATTCCAGAATGCAATTGCGAACGGCACAACGAACGTCAAATGCAGCGCATGCTATTTGAACTACATGTCAACTATAGTGAACTCCAAATGGGGTCAGGATACTTTGCTCAGTCCTTCGGCCCTAATGAGTCAATTATCTTCTTGCTCGACCGGCGGATACTCTGTGACTTATACACCGACCTCCACTGCCTCTTCAACGGTCTCTGCCTCAGCCACTGTTGCCGCTACATGAGAAAATAACAAAGACATATTGTTCTTTTCAGGCTAACTAATCCACTCCACAGTGCGTGCAAGCAGTGGGTAACATCAACACCTATGCCAGCTACACATCCAACACCACCAAAACTCGTGCAACACTCGCTAGCACCATTAATCCCAACGCGACCCGAACAGCCAACCATAGCACCACAAACCTGTTCTGGTCATTCCCTTCCGACCTGACCACCCACCTCAACCTGGACCCCGGATTCCGCATACCTCGCATCTCTTGCGACCTACACGCTCTGTGATCAAGTCAACTCAGTGTATAACATCACCGATTACGATCTAACAGACGAGATGTACCAAGATGAAGCCTGGCTGAGTGAATACGAGCGCGTGTGCTATCTTCCTGTCAACGGTTCCTTCCCGACTGCCGGGTTCAACTTCAGCATCACGCTGACAGATGATTCAAGTGTGGCAATCTCTACAGTATTTACTTCTAGCCAAACAGCTAGCCCTCACGCATCGTCTACGGTCACTACTGCAACCTCTACTACCACAGTTGCGACCCCAACGAGTACGATCTCGGAAAATGGTCTCTGTGGCCCGTCTAATTCGGAGTGGACTTGTTTGGGGTCTCAATTTGGCGACTGCTGTAGTAACTACGGTTATTGTGGTAGCTCGTCGGATTATTGTTCCAGCACAAATTGTAATGCTAACTATGGCTCGTGTGCGTGATCCTGGCTTGGGAGTGGGACCTTCAATGTTTACTGTTGGAAAGGGTTAGGCTGTGGCCTTCAAGGCACGATCAAATGTTTTGATATACCATATTTCCTCCTAGTTTGAGTTCGCTGGAATATGAAACTAGGATTTGCCAGCTGGCTGTTTAATTGTTCCTAGTTTTTCTCGCCCGTCATGTACTTGTGCATGGAAACCTGCAATTTATGTATATCAAACTTTTCCTTAAATTACAATGATTTTAGCAGAACCAGGAACATTTGAAGGCGAGCGGTTAGGCCGGAAACGACGCTACACACCAAGTTTGAAGGCGATCCACTTCAACGAAAACCCTCTAAGTCAAAGACCCACTGTATCTCCGAGCTCGGGACCACTTACTCTTCCCTATCAAAGGTTAGTCGTAAAGATTCCAAGGTCGCATAATACAGGTTTAGTGTGTTTGAGAAGAGTATGTACGGGAAAGATAGATTTGATGCCTTAGTGCAAACTGGGGGCGGACATGTGTCAAACTCGTCCGTTAAATACACTCCCGCCCCTCCGTTCCTCACTTTTTTTCAACCCTCGGAACTGCCACCATTCGATCATGTCCCTAATAAGATCGCACAGCCAGTGGCCTGGAGGCATCCCCTCCTTCATTCGCCGACACGAAGAACCCGTCGCCCCTGAAAATTTCCATGCCGCCTCTCGTGCATGGAGGCATTTTGTTCGTGACCAGTGGGTCGGCGGCGACGCCGCGGATCAACAGAAACGAGCTTTGATCGAACGGTGGGCAACAGCAGACCAACAATTTCGCGATGTATGTCTTTAATTTGGAAGAATTCTTATTTCTCCACTGACGCTAAGACAGAGCTATCAATCCCGAGCACTCGAGGACGAGCCTAGTTTTTTTGAAGGTCCCGAACTTACAGCATGAAATATCTTCTACTATTTGACTTTTCTAATCCAGGTATAGGATAAAAATTTTGTTGGAAATGACGTTCAAAATTTCTGCATGGTCTACTTCTGCACCACCGAATTGACCCGCGAGAAAGAAGCCCTGCTAGCCAAGTGTATCTTGGGTTTATTCCCATGGGAAGAAGGCTGGGAATTCCTAGCAGACGAAATGATAATGTTTCTTCCCTTGGAAGATAATCAAGGGGATATTCTCGAGACATTCAAGTTCCATCAAAGTGTCGCCCGACCCAACTTCCTTGATATGCACATGGCGCTCGATGGAACGGTGCTTTTCAGGGACTGCTATGCCAAGCTCATTATCGATGACCGGACCCTTGAGACCGGACTGGGGCTTTGGGTTGAATTCGCAACGAACGGTATCTACAAGAAAGCCTACCGCGCTCAAATTATGATGGAGGAATTCGCCCACTTTTATCGCGAAATCGGTCCGGGAAATCAGGTCCCAATAGAGCAGGCGCTGAATTACATAGAGTCACGGGTAATATACCAAGACCGCGATGAAGATGCAGATCCAAGAGAGATCTTGGAGGATGAGCCGTGAGTCTGTCCATTCTTGGTTACGAGATAATATATATTAATCGGTGCTTAGAGTCGACATGCGACGGCGGCTCGTGGAAATCTACCGAGGGGGTGAAGTCGATCTAGTGGATGACTATGCGCCAGGCTTTCGCGAGGCGGAGGAGCAGGGTAATGGCTTAGCGATCGGATATGATTTGGAACAGATACTTGCGAATGATGGACATCCCCTGACTATCAAAGATCATGGAAGTGATCATTAGCTAGACTTTACTTATTGCTCCCACGTACTCGGTTCCTTCAATAAAAATAATACCCCTCATGTTCAGTTATGGGTTATATTAGGCGCTTAGGGCAGCATTTTATCGACATAAAGAAGCGATTGGTCCAGAAGACGCATCAAGTTAATATTCGAGCGTATTTTTGGCAGGATTCACAGTTTTTGTTTGAGACCCGTATTGAAGAATGGGCACTGTGTCCATAATTCTTTTTAATACCGTCCAGATCCGAATTGAGTGTCCGGTAGCAATCCATGTTTTCGGCGATATACGACAGTCGTCGGGTCAGGGTAAGCTCAGGGTGGGTCGGCGGCGGCGGTTGCTAACTTGCTATAGCGCAGGTGGTCTTGGTCAGGCCAAACACCAGGGCAGTGAACTTAAAGCATGTGTGGCAGTAGAGAGAGTCGGACCGTGGGCATTGAGGCACGTGATGCCGAGTCTAGCGACGGTCTCATATTCTAGTTGTAAAACAACAAATATATATCCCACTACAGAGCATAACATATACAACTACAACATACTAACTAGCATTCCTTAATATCAACACCGATGTAGTTAATTACGTTTGATCTATTACGTCTTAGCGCTTAGAAAAAGCGTCTAGAAGAGTGCATTGCAAGAATAATCTATCATGTAGGTATAATTTGGGGGGACACAAAATGGAAGAACCCATGTAGTACTCCGTAGTTAAAATAATAATGAAATAATAAGATGTTTAGACAAGCCTTCCCGACGAAACCCCGCAAAGCAAAATAGTCACCGGTGTCCAGGAGAGAAGATCATAAAAAAGGATCATAAATTTGCTGGGACATGTGCAACGGACGTTGAGGCACATGACTTATGGAGGGTCTCGCTGTGGGGTTGCCCGATGTAGGGGGACAAGTTTGACGGCATATCTGCACCCGAAAGTACGGAATACGAATAGTGCTTATAACAGATAAAGACACGGATTTCCAAAATCAATTGAATTGGTTACTTGAGACCAGCTCCAATTTTCGAGTATCCAACTATGTATCCTTGCTCCTGCGAGTGAGGAGGCCCTTCAAAGCATCCGTTTCGCCTTCAAGCTTCGAACATCGAAGTCTCCAGTCATCTCTTTCCTTCCGAACCTTCTCCAACTCTGCTTCAAGTTCCTTCATCCGATCTACACGTCTCTGGCGGCATCTCCGCGCGGCGAGGGTGTTGAGTTTACGCTTTTCCACCCGTGACGAATCAACACGAGTTAGAGTATCATCGCCCTGGGAGGTAGAGGGGCTGGAGAGAGAGGTCGAGACGGGAGCAGTCAACGAAGAGATAGGGGAAGGATGCGAGTGGCCGTCTTTTAAACGTTAGAAACTAGACCCCGCTGACTTGACTGGAGAATATAATCCTACCTTGTGAATTGGCGGAGCAATGCGCAAGAGACGCAGAGATATAGTGTTGGTGCTCGATTGATCCGGAATCCGAAAAAGAGTTGGAAGCAGAGAGACCCCCATACCCGAGATCCATGACGGGGACATCGCCACCGTCATAGTCAGAAAGGTACGGCGTCGGAACATCCACAGATACGAAATTCCAGTCGATATCGGCAAAGGACAGATCGGGTTCTGCCCAGAGTGCCGACTCGTGTGTGAGGGCGTCAGCGGATTGGCAGACTGGCACAGCCGAGGGAAAGCCTTCCAGCGGCGGCGCTAGCGATGAGAAGAGGTCGTTATCACTGTACGGATGAAGATTCGCCCATGGCGAATAATCAGCAGGCCCTTGATGGCGTTCCTGCGTGCCGGTGCAGGGCGGGTTGGAACCAGTGGACGGAGGTCTGGATCGCTGCCGCGGCGCTCGAACAACTGCAGGCGGGCATCGCTGGATTTCTTAGACGGGCCTTTGCAGACCCGTGACGCTCTATATGAGAATGATGAAGAGGGACCCTAGGGTGAATGTGGATAGGGGGCCAACTCTGTAGGAGTCGTGTCCTGAGGAAGAAATTGAAGGACAAGGCCAGGCCATATAAAAGAATCGGAAGACCAAGGGATGAACCGCAGCACCACATGGGTCCACAGTAAGCATCATGTGATTGGTGTTGATCGACTGTGCCTCCACGACTCATTATGACTCATTTTAGCGTCATTCAATTGACTAATCACAGAGAAGAATTGGGATACGCTAATGCACTTTAGGATGTACATACACTTCCAACCTTGGAAGATTGATCAGGGTTACATCTACACATCCAAGCTCGGATTGGACTGCATAAGAAGATCGCCAAAAGACACGCTGACACTATAGGAACCGCCAAGACCTTTAATCTACCATTGAACAGGTGCCATTGACATTCTAGACGGCCATCCTTCTAAGGAAGAGGTCGACAAGCTTCCCATAATAAGCTCAGTGTGACTATGGTAGTAAAGACGACTCATACCACAAGATATCATACCAAGGTAAAGATAGATTATTGCATGATGATCAGCTCTACAGTCTTCAGATATGAATTATTGTGATATCTACCTTCCTGAGACACGCCTCCAACATCCACCTGGAGTTTTCACAGTATGTCGTTGTCTAACCTTGCTCCATTAGATTCCACGTCAATTGCGACAATCAATGCAGCATGCAAATTTTTTGGATTCCTCCATGCAAACCCTCGGTGGTCCCTCAAGATCCAGCCCGATGAGGTGGAGCTGATTTATTTCATCGTCCTGAATTATTCAGAGCAAGGAAAGAGTATCGGAAGCTCTGACATGTCTATTTCCAGCTCTCGAATCCTTGCATCGACCCAATGCCCTTTTCCGAATTGGTGGTTGACCAATGGAGGACAAGCGCGAAAGTCACGGCGAAAGGCAGCGCGAGTCTTTCTCAGAGATGCCAAGCGAATCTTCATGACAGATGCCTTTTATAATTGGAAGAGACAAGTCTTCACAACATCAATACTTGACCTGCCTAACGAGCTGTTGCAGCTCATTGCAGGTCAGTTACCGACAGAGTCTCTCATTAGACTCTGTCAATCGAATCGCCGTCTCTCCAAGGTGATCGGCTTTAAGCTCTGGAGACCACTGGACAGAACTATCAAGGCACTGATATGGAGCTTGAATAACACTCACCCGACAGTTTACGAAAAGGCAGTCGAACAACTTTCGAATATGGCAGGAAGTATGGGTGATAAATTCACGTGGAGATTGTTTCATGTCATTAACACCAACAATATTCATATGCTGGAGTTTATGGCTTCGAAAGGGGGGTTTGGTGGGGAATTATATCGCCAATTCCTCATAGACACGCTGTTTGACAATCTAGAACAGTCAAGGCCCAAACATCTGTCTGTTAAAGAGGTCCTCAAACTAGGGGCTGATCCGAATTGTTCCAGCGATTGGCCCACCCTTCGCGACTTGGATCTTGGGCGTATTCCAATACTTTTGGTTGCTATTTGTGGTTGCCGTGCTTTTTGTGCCGATATTTTGGAGCGTTCGACGAAACATGAGCACGACATATACAAGATTTCAAAGCGGCCCGGAAGCGTCGATAATGTTCGCCTTTTGCTCGAACACGGGGCTGATCCAAATATCCACATATCCGACAAGACATCACCACTTCATGTGACTGTCTCCCTGTGCAATTCCAAGAGAAAGCCAGAAATTGTGACTGAATTGATCAATTATGGTGCCAATGTAAATGCAATTGGTCCCAATGGTAAAACGCCTCTTCATATGGCCGTTGGTCGAAATAATTGTGTCAAGTCCCACTCTCCCTGCGAAGCCACAATCAAGGTCCTCCTTCAAGCTACAGGAATCGACCTCGACCGACGTGACGAGAATGGCCGTACACCCTTGAGCATTGCTGCCGGCCGTAACACAGCCTGCTCTACTTGGTTTGTGGAAAGAATGCTTCAAAATTCCGATGTTGATATCAATTCCCAAGACATTCATGGGAGGACGGTATTATATCATTCGGTAGCGAGCCGAAACAAAAGAGTCACCGAGCTGTTGCTGTCGCAGACTAATATCAACCCGAATCTCAATACTACGAAGTTGCCCTTGTTTTTCGCCGTTTCGCAGCGAATGGAAAGGATGGTCGAGATATTGCTAAGCGAAAAGGCAACCGACCCAAACCGGAAAGACAGCAATGGGCGTCTCGCTTTGACATTGCCAACTACAAGGCATATAATCAAACTTCTTATCAAAGCTGGTGCTCAGCTGGACATTCGAGATAGCACGGGTCTGACTGCACGGGAAACGATTTCGCGGGCGGGCATCAATCTTGAGCAGCTAATGCACCCACGCAAGAGAAAAAGAACAGGAGGAAAAGGGAAAGGGAAAGGGAAAAAAAAGAGTCGACGATATTAGCCAAATTTGTATCCTCTTTTATTGCTATATTAATTTAGGACTCAGAGTTCTTTCTGGTTGGTGCAGGGTTGCTAGAATCGTTTAGGTCTAATTTCTAATTTAATTTCTGGAACTTCATCTGGAGTCTCATTGTATGCGTTAAATCAAGGTCTTTCTGCTCATGACATCCTTATATACCACCCTTCACATCGGGAGACTACCATGTCAAAGTGGACAAATAATTTACTATCAGATTCCAATTGCCATACGGAACATTGACTAGAGACTTTGCTGTGAAGGCGCAACTTTGATTTCAATAGATAAACACCCTTTTACAGAAACACGGAAGCAAAGGAGCAAGCAAAGTAGAATTGATCTTCAACTCATATCGGGCTCGTCTTCCATTTGATATAAATACCCGCAGCCGACATCTGCTGTCGAGCTGTTCTGCCTTCGCTCATTCCAATATCGGCGTTGGCACCGGCTTTAGCGAGCATCCTAATGACATCCGTGTTGCCTACACGAATCGCTTCCAACAAAGCGGTCTGCCCTGTGCTAGTTTGCTTGTTGACGTTGAGTCGCTTAGAGTCCAGCAAATATTCAACCGTCTGTTGTTGATTAAGACGAACAGCAAGAAATAACGGAAATGCATCTGTCGGACCGAGGTTGGGGTCAAGTCTATCCTGCGCCAGGAGTAGACGGATTGTATCATACTCGTTGACGGCGATAGAACGAGAAAATGGTGTTTCCCCGTTTTTGTCTTGGGAATTGATATCGACTTCGTCGGGCATACGAACGACTTTCTTGGCAAATTCCCGACTGACGGTTGCAATACAACTCGCAGCAGCGCCCAAGGGCGTACAGCCATCATTGTCAGGTTCATCAATCTTAACTCTTGGGTCTGCAAGAAGCATATCAAGCAGATATTCATTTTGATGTACATTGAGCCAGCATTCTTCGAATAGCATAAACAAGGGTGTCCGGCCACGGGCGTCTTTTGCATTGGGGTGTGCACCCGCTTTGAGTAAGGCCTGTACAATTTGAGGTTGAAAATGCAGGCATGCTGCATGAAGCATCGAATCCATTGTCGCCAAAGACCCCACAGAATTTGGGTCAACCCCATGGTCAAGCAGCAGCTGCACATCCCGACACGCCTTTTCTTGCTTTGTCCATGAATGGTGCTGGTCCCGTTCCGCCGACGCTGATTTAATAGCATGCCACATCCAAGGATAGCCGTTATGAAAACGATAGTTGGGATCAGCCCCCCACGTCAAACAGTTCTCAGTGGTTCGCCACTCCTTTCTATCCTCTTTGTCCTGAAAGATATGTCGTAGGGTGGTCTGAATGAGTGTTTGTAATTCTAACCCAAGCAAGCCGCCATTAAAAACCAGGAACTGTATCAATCCGACATTTTCGTAGTTCACCATGTCATATAATGGAGTTGTATCCTACGACACTGTCCACGGGACATCAGAGAGTGCTTCGACTGCCTTGATGAATGATTCTTCCATATTTCCTTGTAGGCTTCGTTCAAATGCACGCAAGTCCTGCATACCTCGCCGAGAAAGCCACCCACTCGAGTAGAGATCACGATTTGCTCGGCAAAGATTGGAAAGTTCGCTGTCTGATAGATCACTCACAATAAGCTCCATCAGCTCGACGGGCATGTCAAATATGGATTTCGCTCTAAGAACTGATCTCAAACTCCCATCCAGTAGCGGCGAGGCTAGATCAACCGTTTTTTGAATCGCTTCTGTCACTCGGTGCTCCTCGCGTGCCCATATTCTAGGATAGCGGGTAATATGATTGGCCGTGAGAGTAGACCCCATGTCATATTTCTGCGCAATAAATTCAATCAGAACTCTCTGGTCGGGGTGCGAAAGACCAGTCCATGTTTTATTTGTTTTAAAGAAGCTATCGAGAAGGTGGGCCAAACGGATCGCTTCTGCTGGAAGTTTTGGAAGACTCCTAGCATTTGATTGTGTCATGCTGCCAGAAGATAATATGTCTATCTCTATGCTGTAAGTGGCATGAAGGAAGGACAGATTATGACCCCGAACTCCGAAAAGATAGGAAGGGGTTATGCTAAGGGCTGGCCAGGCCACCGCTGAGTCAGCAAGCGCAGCACGGCCAGGAAACAAAAACCATCAGGCAATTGCTTTGGTGAATTAATAATAAATTAACAGTCAAAATTCCACCAGAATCCCTATATAAAAGGGATCGTCATCAAGCTGAATTCTCTCAGGTCTACCCTATTGCGGGCCCGACTGACAACCCTGCGGGTCCAATCGTTGACTCAAATCCGTGCCCCTCCTCGATTTTCTCTTCTTCCACTCCCAACCCCTCCACGAACATACACCATGGCGACGGCAGCAGCTCCTGAGACATCTCTCCTCTCCCTTCTCTATCGGTCGTACCCCGCCGTAATCTCTTCCGAATCGACCGAGCCTGACTACCTCCACGCCTCCGCCAAGATCTTCCCTCAGGTCACCTTGAATGAGGAAGAGGAAGCTGACATCAGGCAATGGCTCCACACCGTCTCCGGCCTGAAGACTTCTCTCGCCAATGACCAAAAGGATGTGACCGCTGAAATCCTCGACCAGCTGAATATTCACCTCACCACCCGTACCACCCTCCTCGGTGCGAAGCCCTCGGTGGCCGACATTGCCATCTATGCTCTTCTAGCCCCCGTCGTTGAGAAATGGACACCTGAACAGCGCACCGGAGAAAAGGGCTACCACCACATTGTGCGTCACGTCGACTTCGTGCAGAACGGCCGCCTATTCTCGCTCAAGATCCCCGATGAGGAGAAGATCGCCATCGACGTGAACGACGTCAAGTTCGTGCCCAAGCCCGTCGACCCCAAGGAGGAGAAAGAGCGCAAGAAGCGAGAGAAGGCTAGCGCCCAGAACCCAGACGCCAACAACGAGTCCAAGCCCCTCGTCGTCGGCCAAGGCAAGGCCGAGCAAGCCGCCAAAGCTCAGGTCGGCGCCGACGGTGCCCCCGTGAAGACCAACAAGAAGGAAAAAAAGGAGAAGAAAGAGAAGGCACCCAAGCCCGCTCCTGCCCCCGCTGCGCCACCAGCCCCATCACTGATTGACCTGCGCGTCGGGCACATCCTGCGTGCGATCAACCACCCGAACGCGGACTCGCTGTACGTGTCCACGGTCGACTGCGGTGACGCCCCAGGAAGCGAGAACACGTCTCTCGATGAGGAGACCGGCAAGACCGTGCGGACCGTGTGCTCCGGACTGAACGGACTGGTCCCGCTTGAGGAGATGCAGGGCCGTAAGATCGTTGCTGTGTGCAACCTGAAGCCTGTGACCATGCGCGGTGTCAAGTCTTGCGCGATGGTTCTCGCTGCGTCTCCGCGTGTTGCGGAGGGTGAGGACTCGCACGCCGGTCCTGTCGAGCTCGTTAACCCGCCTGCTGATGCTCCTGCCGGTGATCGGATTAGCTTTGAGGGCTGGAATGATGGCCAGCCTGAGAAGCAGCTTAACCCGAAGAAGAAGGTCTGGGAGACTTTCCAGCCGGGTTTCACTACCACAGCGGACCGTGAGGTTGTCTTTGATAGCAGTGCTGTTCCCGCTGTCCATGGACAGGAGGGCAAGCCTGCTCTTGGAAAGCTGGTTGCTGCTTCCGGTGGTATTTGTACTGTTAAGAGCTTGGCCAATGCTACTGTGCGGTAAGGGGTGTGAAGTGTTCGGTATATCTGAAAATAAAACTAAACGCATACCCATGAGAATATGAAGAAATCAAAATTTCCAATTTCCGTATTATTATTGTGCGTCTAAATGGGATTTCTTCCTCTCTGCATCGCTGCCAACACATGAAAAGATGGAAATATGGGTTTTTGTACATTGTCACAACTTGAGGAGCGGATAAATCTCGGATTTTCTTCTGCTTAAGCAGGCGCTGCGAATCCCAAAGAAGGTCCGCGTTTGTCAAAGACCACGAACAAAGCCTTCAAGAACACATCGCCATAGATCGCCATGGTTGAGCTCCCGCTCGATTGAAGGCCGCCATAGCACACTGTCGAAAAAAGGTTAGCCCAGAACTCATACTTCAAATAAGCTTGAACGGACAGAAAAGAAAACTCACCTGTTTCTCCAGTAGTCGTGTTGGTTCCAACCTCGGACCAATTCATGAACGATCCAGGAACGGTAACCAAATAACCAGACCCGATCGCAACGGATAGGGTGGGCAAGCTCGAGGTGCAGGGGAAGATATACCCATTGGCATTATTGGCGTATAATCCGCCATCGACTTGCTTATAATACGCTTCCGCAACCTCAGGGCTAACCATCATAAGCGAGGTTCCAGTGTCTGCAATGGCCTGGGGTGCTTTGGCGATCGTGTGCAAGGGGCCTTCTCCTATGGCGTACTGTGCCGAGTCGAACTGCCAGAATCCGTTGGATGAATCCACGCTGACATTGGCCATGACGCCTTGGTACTTTGTCGGATCGACGGTTCCGAATTCATACTCACCGACACCGTTGCTGAGCAGTCGAACGGTGAAGACCGGCTCGTCGAGGTTGGGAGCGACATTGTCGAAGAATGTGTTCTGACGCTGTGGCAGAACGGTGTTGATTGAAGAAAAGCCAAGACCGACGAGTCCGTTAGACTTGGTGTCATCGGCGAATGTTTGCGAAATTTCCGTCGGAAGGCCGAATGCTTGCCCGGCAACTTTGACACCGCCAATCGAAACAACATCCTTGCCTACTCCACCATTGGCATAGGATGAATCGCCGTACTGGATATTGAATGTGCTGTTGGCGAGCTCTTCAAAGGTGGTGGATTTGCTCGGTTCGTACACTGTTCGGCCGTTTCGCAGTGACTTTGGAAGTCTCGAGTTCAACACCCACCTATATCACAATTGGTTAGCTCGGAATATTCCTTTTGTGAACTGGAACATAGAAACATGTTGCTCTCCAATAAACACAAAACTTACATATCAGCAGAGCCACTGTCAAAATTCATGTCGAGGGTTTGACCTCCAATATTGACCGGCGAGACAAATTCCACATCTCCATCAACAGAAGTGGCATCCACGGTGCCCGTCTGTTCAGGATCTGCTACATCTTCCTTTGCAACTTTCACAGAGGTGGTATCCGTGGTTTCAAAAGGCTGGAAGTCGCTCACGTCCACCCCGTTGAGGGTTGTTGCATCAATTCCGAACTTGCGGTATGCTTTGCGCAGTGCCGCGGGTCCGTTGGGAACATAATCACCGCGCTTGACTCTCTGCACCTTGAAGGACCGGCCTTGAAGGTGATTCGGAGGAGCCACGGGCATGGAAAGAGCATTGAAGCTCAACGAAAAGACGACAGCGAGAAAAAGAATGAATTGCATCTTGCTCAAAGCCCCAATATGGGGGGTGGAAATGGAAAGAAAAAGGAGTGATTAGATCAGGGCCAGCCTGAAGACTTGATATTAAAGAATGCAATGGACAAGAAACACAAGGATAAAAAAACAGACAAGACAAGAGGGTGAACTTTCAGCAGATCTGTACGAGCAGGCTCGTTCTGAATGAATGGAAAGACAATGCCAATGTCTCAAAATGAACGTCAGCAGGCAGTAGTCCTGACTTGAATACCTGCGGCCAAGAATGGAAAAGAAAGAAAAGAATACAATATAATGTAGACAATGCGGACAATGAAGAGAAGAGAGGAAAACAAAGAGACCGGAAACAAAAATAAGAACAATATCAACAAGACAAAGTGAAACTTCATAGGAGGAAACCACCCTAAAGGCAAGAACGACCCGAAATGAGCACGTATCTTGTAGTGCAAGCGTTTGCTTCTGAGCGCTTGGCATTTCGAAACCAACCTATCGGAGGCAAGCGCTGCACTGCAGAGCCCTTAGCACAAGCTGGGCATGCTTCACAGTAGACGCCATCAGTCCAAGACTAGAAAGACGTATACTCCGTGGGCCCGGGGATGTGTCAGGTCTAGGTAAGGGGCTCGGGGGTAGCGCCGGATAGGATAGTACGGAGTCGCAGATGATATCTATATACGGAGTACCCTACTAGCTCCGTAACAGATAAGTGGGGAGGGCTGTCCTGGGCGCGTGGGTTTGATACTACTTCCAACATAGGTACTGAGCACTAAGATGGAAATGGAAGGCCAAGAAGTGGCAGAGGAAATAAAGGCCTGTTGGTGGGATACCGTTGGTTGATCCTGAAACAAGGGCCAGCGGGTAGGGACCCAATCATGGGATGTACGCCGTACTTAAAACACTGGAGATTTCCCATTGTGACATGTTAAGTGTGGCTTGCTTTTTTATTTGTAGCTTTGCTTCTCTGGTGGCATGCGTTGGCATTAGAACAATGGTATCTTTGCCTCATATTGATCTTGGGGCGATCAAATGTTGAGTGTGTCCAATGTTAATTAGAGATCTGATCATAACTTTGGGTAATTAGTTTTATAGTTTAAGGGACGCAAGCCTTGTAAATATACTCCGTAGGGATTTCTTTAAAGCGAGGCATTTGTCCACCATATATATACATATTCTTACATATTTTCCAAGCACCACTTGATATATTATGCATAGAAGTTTTGATCGGATCTGTGAAGAAAAGGAAAAGGAAAAGGAAAAGGAAATGTAGAACCACACCCCTGGCCTTGGAATACCGTCTCTGAACCAAGACTATTAATGAGTGACAGACTTGTGCGGTGAGATGGCTGTGTTTGGTGTTGGAATGGCTCGGAGTAGAAGGCTTGGAGACGCATCTACATGTCCAGCAGCTAAGAAATCAAGTACAATCTACAACGCCCCAGTCTAGCCAGACTCTCAAGACGATACTTGATAGTATGCAAAAATCAACGTCAATGTCATAACTCTCCGGGAGTTCCCAAAAAGGGCAATAAAAGAAATATAGAGCTAATGGAAGAGATGAAAGAAGAGTAAAAATGAAAGCATTTTAAGTGCATAACGGTCTAGACTCGCACACCGCGAGAGACCCCCAAGGATATCGATTTCAAACAGAAACAACTCCGCATCCAATGGTTTCGCTACCAGACCCAACCGACCACATACCAGTGGCAAGGAAGCGTTATTCACCAATCCCCAAATTCCATGTACAGAGAAACAATCCGTAAAAGATGAGAAAAGTAGAAGGTAACAAAGCAATAAAAAGCAACCCAAGATATTCAACAGTGCCCAAGCAATGCAGACGTGTATCGTTTCCGCCTCTAGATCCTTGAATATGATATCCATTCCCGCCCCGATAAAAACAAACCCAAACAAAGAGATCGTAGAAAGAAAATAAAAGTGCTACAGCGTAGGTGTATATCTGGCAAAGTCGTTTGCACGCAAAACCCTCCCAAAAAAGGTAAAATCAACTCCAAAGTCATGAACATGCAACGTCAAGTAGCAATGTCACTGCACGTGTTCTGTACATCATCGGTGGCCCGACCGGAAGAAAAGAAACATAGGCCGAAGAAAGTATTCGTCCCTCCCTGAGAGACGAAAGAGGTATCGTAGGAAAAGGATGCAAGGTATGGAATCGCAGGCGCCGTCGCTCGCAACAAGCTAAGAGTATCGCAAAGGATGTAGAATATGAGGCGAAGGTGGTCGTAATCGGCGAAGAGGAGAGTGTATGTACAGGTCGGTTTTTTTGTTTTGAATTTTGATGATTTTTTTTGTCGCCGTATTCGTGGAACAGATATTTTTCCAGGTTGTGTGTCGTGTCGAATGCAATAGACGTATCGAACAAGAATGCAAGTGGAGGAAAAAAAAGAAACATTATGACCTGCGATTAAGGGACCCCGATGATGCAGAACAGCTTAAACAACGGACGTGCAATGGACGAATGGAGATGTAGGGTGCCAGCCTACGACTTTGGCAAATGGCACCCTTACCATCGACGCTGAGCAGTCTGCATCATCGCGGACGAGATCGATGAAGGTGGGCTCGACAGGGTCATTCCGGTTGAGGGGTTGATAATCGGGATGACCTTGCGGGTCCGGTTCGCAGGCTGCTGCTGGTAGTTGACATGATTAGGGTTGCCGGCAACACCAGGGTGAACGTATGAGTTGGTTTGAGCGGGGGACAATGAGATGGACGGGGTCACCTGCTGCACCGGTTGGATTTGGTGCTGCAGAGGCGAGGTGTCCGGTGAGCCGCTGGAGAGAGAAGAACGATCGGATGCGGAGTGGATGGAGTGTAGCTATAAATCAAGCATGTTAACAAAACTGCCCCTAATGGTCGATCCAAATTAAGATCTGTGACGATCTTCAAGGGGGTGACGAATATAAGGGGGTTGAAAATTCGCCAATCACAACATACATCATCCTCGGTTAGGAGGCCTGGACAAAACTCGAGGTCGTCATCCAGATCAAAGGATCGACCAGCTTCGAATCTTGCACGGAAGGCTGTCACAGCCGGAGCTTCCGCCAATTCCCGCATACTCTTGACTCCTCGGAACTGACGCTGAGGATTTTGCGAGGCCATCTTTGGGGCACGACGAGAGCGCCCATGGTGGGTATTTGACGCAGACTGCATATGAGCACCATGGTGAGGGTGTTGCTGGTGTTGCTGGTGTTGGTTGTAGAAGTAGGCAGACATTGTATTGAGAAGCCGGCACTCGAAAGTGAGAAGATTGAAGATAAGAAGAAAGTTACAAAAAGAAAAATATAGAAAATATAGGAAAGATCGATGAGATTGAACGAGGAAAGGAGGATTAATGAGAATGAGAAGTGTGTGGGAAGAGGCGAAGGGAAAAAGAGGGGAGGGGTGTGCTATGGGGGGGATGGTATGGTTACGGTCATTACCATTACTATTCAAGGGAGTGGACTGCGTATGTGATGTGGACAATGTGGATAATTACCGTTCGGTATTGTCAGGGCGGAAAAGGCACTTACATCGACGCACCAACCAGATCGAAGCGCTAGCCAGAGTGGCAATAGCCCCTGGACCAATGAGAGCCCGCAGATCCTCCCCAAGTGGAGCCTCCAACGGCCCACCAAAATACTGAAAAAGAAAAACGTGACGTCGACAATTGGGACCTTACCCGATTAGGAAGATCTCTTAGTGACGCCACTACGTTGTGTACATACCAAGGGCATCTGGAGACCTCTAGCATTGCCCTACTCCGTACGACAATGATGATTGTTGCTTTTATCTAGATCCGACATTTGCCGAAACCGCCAAACTGCCGACCTGGACAAAATACAGATGATGTATCATCGAATATGCAGTGAAGCTGTCCGGAAAAGTAAATTCCCCATCCCCCGTTCAAGGTTCCTCAACCCGGTGGTTGGGGAAGCTGAAATTTTTCTCAGCCCTTCGGGTCCCCTTAGCTGCAGGCTGTGCAGGGCAGGACTTAACCTTCCCAGGCACATTCCCCCTCCATTCCCCCTATAGGGTGTCCGAATCGGCAGTGGCTGCTGATCTTGCTTTGGATCGGCTCCCCGTACAAATTCCCCAATCCTTCAACACGCAGCGCAAAGACCCAAAAAACCTTGTTGGTCTTGAGACACACCCATAGAACCAGCTGCAGACAAACCCGCCTATTATTGGCAGAGGACCTTGAGATCTTACCTTATCAGCTCACATCCTTTCCAAATCGGGGTTCATCAATGCGGAATCCGGACTAGGGCAGAGGCTTAAGGCGCCTTCTCTTGTTTTCTTTCGGGTACCATTGCCTATCCGTGACTCACTACATATTCATGCGACCGAATCAAAATCAACTGTGAGTTTCCACTATTCAACGTGTGGTATATTTTAGGTCTGGGAGCTATTTCCGTATTCATTTATCTACGTTGTATGTATTTTCGTCCTTTGTCCCTCATTGGGATATGCCCACTCTCTCGGCGCCTACTGGGACGTAACCCTGTGACATGATGTGCCGACCTTTCATCTTCCACCAGTGATAACTTCAATTCGATTACACGGCGCCGAAAAGAATCTTTACTAGAGACAACGTACCACCGTAAGCTGGCTCTCCAGTTCTCGGTTTCACCGCCCTTTTGGCTATTGGAACAGGATCTCATGAGGTGTAGGATAGATCACATATTGTACCCCGTAAACGTTGCCCCGAAGCTTGAACCATGCAGCTGATCTATCCAGCGTCTATGCAGGGTGCATGATTTGGTGTCTGTGTGAGATCGTGGGGTCCGAATGCATGAAATATGTAATTCGGTGAGGGACTAGTTATTCCTGCGAGCTGATCCCCATATACACTGCGCAAGGGACTTGCAAACACGATCTTCAACTATTCTAGTGCCTTGGTTGGATTTTAAATATGTGATATCTATTGCATCGTGGCGAATGTTTCTGTGCTCCGAGTCGGAAGGTGGTTTCAGACTCTGGGTGGTACTGAAATAGATTTGCGGAGTCGATGCCATCCTGACAGAATGACAGCATGGCAGCAAGACAAACATCTTATTTTGATTAAGTTTATCTCTTGAGAAATTCTTCCATGCAGCCCTAGAGACTTTCGGAGTCGTGCTGTTGATAAGATGTATGTCTTAGGTTGTCAGGTCACAATGCTACACCTAACTAACTAGTTAAGTGTGTAGTTAGCATTTCTATACTCATTTAATCTCTTTACTCAGAGTGTAATAAAACGATATTTGGAATGCAGGTATTCAAAGGGCCTCATTCTTGGCTTGAGGGCTCAACTTGTCTCAATCGTCGAATTACCGCTTCCTTTGCCCAGAAGACCTCAAATCCAACCTTGAATCCAGTACGGAGTTAGAGCCATGCCTATGTGATATGCCATTTCGCCGTACCAGAATCAATCATCGAACGGTATCATGGTGATTTATGGCTGCCATGAAGCTATCCATGGTGCGCGAGGATGGCACGACATCCCCACCTGCGAGTATAAACCCGCCCTCCATTTCCTCTTCTTCACCTCTTTCTCTTCTTCACTGTACAGCCTATTTAATAATTCTTAAATCAAAGCCCATATCTTGGGTTTCAATTGGCACTGGTAGCTTCGATGAGACGGAATCCCCGTCTGCTCGAACTATGCAATCCGATGGACCTCGGTGGTATCATCGTCGTTTGAATACTTTTATAGTAGACACATTAGATCCAATTAAGCCTCTGATTGTTTCTTGTTCAACCACTTCCTTGCATTCCCCCAGTTCTCTCTCATACAAGCTTTCTGTTGGAATACCATCGCGTCGAAATCCTTGGAAACGTCTCATGATTGCCTAAAAAGAAAGCGGGTTGCTTTTACCAGTCATATGCTGCTAGGTAGATAGAGATGAAAAATGAAAAATGTCCACGAAAGGGAAAAAACCCCGTCAAAACTAGATTAGGAATATTGAGATACCGGTATATAAAGGTTTTGTAAAGTACAGGATGCGGTACACGATCATTTGTCCAAGTTCTTGCTCTTCACCATCCGCCCAAGCAATTCTTTGCAGTTCTTCTCGCTATATTGCTCCCACACCTCATACAAGGAGACCAGCTCTTGTGTACACTCGATGACAGCTTTAATATCGACTTCGCCTTCTGCAAGCCAGCTGACAAGCTTCTGAATTTTAGGAGGAGGACCGGATCCAGTCTTATCTGACAAAGCGGCCAGCATCTGCATGCCGCCTCCATCTCTCATAGAGCCTGCCAAAGCCGATTGCCCGGTTCCAGGGTAGTTGGATGAATGGGTGGGCTTGAATACGACAGCGACGATGATTGCCATGATAGCAATGACATGAGGTGGGTGTAAAAGGGGTAAATCTGTCAGATAATGATCGTTGATAACCGACCAGGCGAGAGCGACTTCATCCGAGGTGAGTGATAGTTCGGTTTGAAGTTCGGACAAAGTCCGATAAGGATGATGTACGATGAGTTGCGAGCTCAATTCCGATATTAAGGCAAACTCGCATTCTCCGAGCTTTGCCACATCCGGGGTAATAAATTCTGTACATAGTGAGCATATGATCTGTTTTTATGGCTTTATATACGGATGCATACCTGGCCACAGACCGCGCGCTTCGCCGACCACAAAGCGGATATGCTGTGGACATTCTTCCATCTTGCAGGCAAGATAGAAGGCTGTGGTGAGTACAAGGTATGGACTTGTCTGTCGAATCTCATTCTTGGCATAGAATCTCTTCAGATACACCTGTGCTGTCGCAATGGCCTGCTGTCTGGTGGACATGCGTTTGCCGAGCTTGATAAGCTCTTATGAGTTGAATTAGCCCGACATTCATTTAAAACAATGACCATATTAACAAAACTTACGTTGGTTAAAGTAGATATTTAATAGTCGCTGATCCGGCAGCGGGAACTGCGAATGGGCAACTTTATCCTTCTCCCGTAATCCTTCACGGATATCTGCTAACTTCTCCCTGGAGAATAGCCAGTGCCGACGCTGGGATGATGCCCAGTAGTTGGCTGCCATATTGCAAGTTCAATGTTTGATAGTGCAACGCTCGTAAATTGGAAGCCGTCACGACATGGTCCGAAGTCCAGCTGACCCAGGTCACGTATTAAAGTGAGATGAGATGATGCAGAGCCAATAGAAAAGAAATAGAGAAAAACAAAGCAACAACATCAGAATCTCATCTCATATGAGGTCAGGTTGCAATCCCAAAAAGGGATAGTAGGGCTTGGCCCTGGTCCCGTGCAAGATAATCCGATGGCGTCAAAGCCGGTCAAATCGCCGGGCGTCTATTAATCACCTGGGCATTTACCCGTCCATGTTCACCTCCAGGGCTGGGCATACCTTTTACCTCACGTCATACTTTTATGTTCCCCTCGATCTTCTTCCCCTCAACTTCTAGGGGTCTTGGGTTCTCGAAAGACTTCTTATAACGAAGTATCAAAGAAAATAATGGTTGCTCGGTAACAATTTTTTTTTATCATGGCATCCGGAGAGTCAAAAGATGAACGCGACAAACGAGTCGCCAAACTCTGGGAAACCTTGGACACTCGACGAGAGGGCCATATCGACCTGAATGGGTTAAAGAAGGGGTTAAAGAAAATTGATCATCGTGAGTTTGACCTGGTTTCTTGCTATATATCTGCGCGCTTGTCTAATCTCTTTCTAGCTCTAAAAAATGCAGACGATATGGTACTCAGGGTCGCGCGGGAGGTGGATACGAATGGTGATGGACGTATCGACCAAGCCGGTAAGCTCACGAGAACCACCTAGGGATCACTCGGCGAAGGGGTGCCCTAGCCAAGATTTGGTCCAATCCTAATCACCACCAGAATTCCGAGCATTCATCAACCGCACCGAGGACGGACTATGGCAGATGTTCCAGAGCATTGATCGAAATAAAAACGGAGAAATCGACAAGATGGAATTGCGGAATGCCTTTTCACGTTCCGGGGTCACAGTCTCGAGCGCCAAGTTGGACCGGTTTTTCGCGGAAGTCGATAAGAACCATGACGGCGTGATCTCTTACACTGAGTGGAGGTATACGCATCCTCACTCTGGTCAATGAAGGCTGAAAATCCTAGGCTAACAAATTTACCCTTCTCTTTTTTTTAGGGATTTCCTTCTATTCCTCCCTCTCCAATCCCCGACCGACCTACGCGCAGTCCTTTCATACTATACGGCCACGGGCAATCTAAACCCGGAAGGAGATGTCAACATCAATGACCTGCAGGGTTTAGGTACAAATCATCCGTTTCTTTCATCTTGTATTCCGGCCATCCAACACGTTTTGTACAACTTTTTGTCCCTCCCCGCCTTGGCCCCCTTCCTTCCTTCAGCACATGCACAAACCAGCCATATCTCAAAACCGGAACCCGTTCTCGAGCATGAATTTGTCTCGCTAGACGCCGACTTGGATTTGGAATGGTTGCCTCTTCCCCAGACTACCGCCATGCGGATGTCTTTCCGATATCATGGACGGAAGTTGACCGAAAATACCCCTCAATTAGGCTACTTCCTTGCAGGTGGAATAGCGGGTGCCGTGTCAAGGACGGCCACCGCCCCCCTCGATCGTCTCAAAATTTATCTCATTGCGCAGACTAGCGTCAAATCAACGGTTCAGGCGGCGAAGGACGGATCCCTGTTGACTGCGGTGGGGAACGATCCCAGAACATTGTTCGGCGCTCTCAAGGAACTATGGCGGGCTGGAGGAATACGGAGTTTGTTCGCAGGTTTGTCATATTGTCTACCTGGACTCGAAGTGGCAGCGACTAACTATAAGTAGGCAATGGCTTGAACGTGGTAAAGGTTATGCCGGAGTCTGCGATCAAGTTTGGTGCCTATGAGGTTTGTAATCTTGCTATTCGATTTCGCCTACACAACTAGACGAATACTGACCAGAGAACAGTCTGCGAAACGAGCATTTGCACAACTCGAAGGACACAATGATCCCAAGCGACTTCGTCCCACTTCACAGTTCATGTCGGGTGGCTTTGGTGGAATGGTTGCCCAGTAGGTCTTGCGCGTTATTTATGAAAGGCAAGTCGGTTCTGATTGTGACTAGATGTTTTGTTTACCCCCTCGATACCCTAAAATTGTGAGTACATCGACCAAAGTGAGTTGTGAGAGCATTGTGGCTCATAGTTATCAATAGTCGCATGCAATGCGAAACTGTGAAAGATGGCCCGAAAGGCAATCAACTCATCGCAGCTACCGCAAGAAAGGTATGGAACACGAATGGCTTGGCTGGCTTCTTCCGAGGACTACCGCTTGGCCTTGTGGGGATGTTCCCCTACGCCGCAATCGATCTATCGACATTTGAATATCTCAAACGAGCACTCATAGCTAAAAAGGCTCGTGACTGTGGCTGTCATGAGGATGACGTTCCCCTCGGCAACTTCGCGACAGGTGCAATTGGTGCTATGAGTGGAGGATTCAGCGCCTCGATTGTCTACCCACTCAATGTTCTCCGCACTCGACTTCAAACTCAGGGCACGATTTTGCATCCGCCTACATACACAGGGATTGGTGAAGTCCTAAGCGTCACACTCAAAGCAGAGGGACCCCGTGGTCTTTACAAAGGTCTCACACCTAATCTTCTCAAAGTGGCACCGGCCATGTCAATCAGCTACGTGGTCTACGAGAACGCGAAACGCATTCTCGGCCTACGATGATCTGCCAGCCCAAACAAGCCCTCACTTCCTCTTCCTCCTTGCATATCCCCGTGGACATCACCTAGCCATTTGCGTGGATTCTCGATCTTCGCATTCATTCCGGTGCCTTCGGATTGATATTTGCTATTTACTGGCTTGAAATTTAGAAGCGTTGTCCCAATATACCCACAACACAAGCCATTGAAAGGCATGGCACACCCACCCCCTGGCTCATGGGTGCATCTGAAATGCATCCCATTCTCATTCTTGATCTCTTTGCCATATCAACGATCATCGATCACGATATTTGACTTTTTTCTGCATATATCAACAAGGTTTCATTGTAACTTTTATTACTTTCTATTGCTTATGTTGCGCTCACTTGAGACAACTGTACTTTTGACCAAACTTTGATACAGGGGCATTGGGAAACTCACCATCAACCACATCAGCATGGCAAGGCGTCGATATAATACCACGGGACTTTTAGATTCCCCATTTTGTTTACTATTACAAGGAAATCTGCACGTTTGGACAAATACATACTTTGAGATAACACTCTGATTGCTCTTAGATTGTTCAGTTCGCGAGTCGCAAACGGGCATAATCGCTGAAGCACCCTTTCCGAGGCCAAACCCTTATTCAGCCGCCTGCACAGCCCTAACCTCCTCATCCTGAGGAAGGATATCCGGCACAGGCCCCAGAGGTGTGATAGCAAATTGATTAATCTGCTTGTGACTTTTAGTATAATGGAACTTGATATGCTCAAAGTCCGTCGTATCCCGGAAAGCAGGGATCTCCCAATACAGCTTGCGCACCCAGCGGTGAATAGCGGGGAATCCGGAGCGGATATCACGCAAATTGCACTTGAAATGCTGCACGTAGACTGGGTCGAACCGAACGATGGTGGTGTAGAGTCTGATATCAGCCTCGGTGATCTTGTCGCCGAAGAAATACGGCTTCGAGGCTGCTTGCTGCTTAGCGAGGTGATCTTCGACCTTGTCTAGCGAGGAGAAGAGTGTTGTTACGGCTTTCTCGTATGCTTCTTGCGTGGTCGCGAAACCAGATTTGTAAACGCCATTATTGATGTCGTTGTAGATCCAGTCGTTGGAGGCTTCGATCTCGGCTTGTAGAGCCTTGGGGAAGAGGTCGATTTTCTTGTATTCCTCTGGGAGAAGATCGTCGAATTCATGGTAAAGCATGCGGATGATTTCGGAGCTCTGGTTTTGTAAGAATATGGAATTGGAAATGTCTTCTTTTGGGAAGATTGTTTCATACCTCGTTGCTTACGATCAGCTTGGTCTTCTTGTCGAAGAGAACTGGGACGGTGAACCGGCCCGAGTAGTCTGGATCATTGGAGAAGTAGACTTGTCGGATATGGGTGAAGTCTGGGTGTAGAGGATCGGGAATAGTGTTCTCCCCGGGCAGTTTCTCATCGGGAGTAGCAAATCGCCAACCTAAGATATGAGTTAGAACAATGCTATTTCCCCACAACTCATGAGATAAATTTGACCTTCTGCCCCAAGATGCCAATGCACCGAAGAGAAGGAGATGATGTCCTCGAGGCCCTTGAGCTTCCGGGTAATTAAAGTCCGGTGAGCTAGTAGATAATTAGTTACCGATCGAGTGGCAAGTCAATTGGAAGTTCTTTCATACCCCAAGGACAGGCATAAGAGACATAAAGATGGTACCGGCCCTTCTCTGGAGGGAATTGGGCTCCAGCCTCCCTAGAGATCCAGTTCCGAAAGATGGATTGCTGACGCTTGAACTCGCCCGACTTGTCGCCGGGTTTCACCCAATCGGTGATTTTCATGGAATTTACGGTCTTAAAATATAAGTTAGCGTAGTCAAGAGAGCTATTGTGGCCGTGTTTTGTGTTTCTTACAGCCATATTGCGGGAGTAGATGATTGGTACTGTGGGGAACACAAAGCTCTGGTGAACTGTACGAAGAGGCCCTGCGCGTAGAATACACTTCAATGGTTGGGATCTCAGAAGAGTAAAGAACATAAGCGGCAGACACAGTGGAATTCACTCTTATATATAGAAAGAACACAAATGTCGTCTTCGCGGGGTCATGACGTCCCCGGGCATGACCAAATGCTGAGTCAGATTTGCTTATCGGAAGATTGATCAGCTTTGACAAAGCGATCTGGATGGTCTTGGCACAGCCTTGAGCGATTTGATATTGATTTGTACACAGGTGGCTTACACTGGTCATTCTACACATATTTGTACTCATATAGAGTTTGTGGAGAGTGGAATAGTCATGAAATCTACCTACTGTACTAGCAATATGCAGCCAACCGGCTTTTCGTAGATTCTAATCGCCTTATTTTGTGAGCTTGACCATCACGTAGGGAACCTCGACATCCTCTTCTGTCTGGTCCTCGGCGGTCACCTCGAAGATTATATTCTTCTGATGCTCGGGGACTGGCTTCTTGCTGACGTGCTCCACAAGCTTGCTCATACTGCAAGGTACAATGTCAGTAATCTAACTCACGCATGGGGCTAGCTATAGAAGAGAAGATACTCACGGTAGAGGAAGGCGATCCTTGACCTTCGATGGGGGATAGAAGCTTGCATACAACAAGCTGACTCCAGAGCTGACCATGGTGATGTCCAAACCCTTCTCGGCGAAGAAGTCGAGGAACTCCTGAAGCTGGATGTCTTCCACCTCGAATCGGTCCCAGAGCTTGTCAATTGTGACCTCGCCTTGCTTGCCTTGATACTTGCCCTTTTCGCTACCAATCGGCTCACTGAAGCTAAAGAACGGAAGGGCCAAATTAACAAAGCCGTTCTTGTACTGCTCGATGTCGTCCTTGCCGTCAACAATCTTGTACAGTTCGAGGCCAATAAGACCGGTGGCTAGGGCAGTAGTTGTGGCAATCGCCGGGATGATCTTTCCAGCGATAAATTTGGTCTTGTGTCGGTCGGCCTGAGGAATCTCGTAGTTGTCTGCACGGAGGTTGCTAGCCGCAGTGATGAAGTCGATGTGGTGATTGGTGTCATCATCCTTCTCAAACTCAACCGGCTGCAAGCGGAAACCAGCAAGAGACTTGGGCGAGGGAAGCGATGCGACCAATTTCTGAATTTCCTCCTCGTCATTGGACAAACCAGCTGGCTGCGCATTCGGATCAGGGTCGTTTTCATTGGCCTGAATCTTGACATTCGAGCTGGGAGTGAACTCGGGAACAATCATGTCATCAACTACCCTGCGGTAATAGTCCTTGTCCGCACCGGGGTTCTTGATGCCGTAGTTGAACGCATGGAGGTTAGCACCGGCAATAACAAATCCAAGATGAGTTGGATTAGTGCTGTCGAACTTCAAGGGTGTAGGGGCGCGCTTAGGTCCAGACCAGAATAGTTGACCGGATGATGTCTTGGAATCTCGGGGGAAGTTGTAGAGAAGCTGCTGGATCGCGTTATTGTACTGCGCTTCAAATTGTTGGCGAGCCCACACAATACAATCATCGAAAGTTAGAGGTTTTTCAGTGACCAAGAAGTCACGCAGGTGCTCCAAGGTTTGCTTCTCATTACCCGCTTGCTTGAGGGTCTGCTGAATGTAGTCGGGTTGAGAGAGGTACATGTTGACTGATTCAGGTGGACCAACGAAGTAGGTTTGGAAGACATCCCGTGCCCATGCAATGGTGTGCTCAATGCGGTTCGGGAAGCTCTTCAGAGTACACATAGGGAATGACTTCTCCGGGGGATCCTGAGAGCTAGAGTAGGACTCCGTGATGAAAGGAAGAACGACCTGAGTGTTACACTTGGTGCCCAGGGTACCACTCTCCAGCAATGGCTTGCGGAAGAAGACACAGCGGCGATCAACATATGTCCGTGCATCGACGTTGTCTAAAGCGTTTGTCACACCATCAAGGCCGTTCCAGAAATCCTCATTGAATACATGTTCAGTGTCGGCACCGACGCGATCACGAAGAGTGACAATCTTATCTTTCAATTCTCGGTTCATTGCTTGAGCGGCCGCAGACGCGCATTCACTCTTGAGTCTGCCGACGTCCTTGGGACGGAAGAGGAATTGCCGGTTAAGATTGCTCTTCTCAATCTGGTCCATGTCGGTGACGTAAAGCTTTCCTTTCGGACCCGTACCCAGACCCATCATAGCCCAATTCTTCAGCGTCTCACAACCGATAGCACCAGAACCGACCAAAAATTCGGTGACATTGGCAAGTTTGTCTTGGTATTCCTTGCCAAACACCGCAATTTGCCCATCGTAGCGGGTACCAAGAGGCTTGCAGCTCTCTTCAGATCGAGTGACTGATGAGGGCAAAGACTCCAAAGAGTCGAAGTACAACCACTGATGAATAGGACTGAACTTGCCGGAGACAGCCTTCAGAACTTCCTGGGCGGCGATACCACCGAAGAAAGCTGCCAACGGGTTCAGGTCACCGCGGGCCTGGTAGCTCAGCTCCTTTATTATCTTCTCATCCAGTTCGACTTTTTCCTCACCAGTAGCAGCAAGATCGTTAGCGATCTTCAGAACCTCCTGGGCGTCGCTATCATTGTGGGGATGAGGTAATTGGCCATCATGAGTCTCCGCAAACTTATGAAGAGCCTGGATACCAATGTGCAATTGTTGTGGCCGGTCAAACTTGGCATAGTCGGACATGAGAAGATCGGGCTTTTTAAGTTGATCCTCTAGTGGCTGGAAATCAATGAACTTAGGCATCTTGACCTGAGCGAATAGACCACCACCCTCGTAGGATCCTAGACCAGACACGTCACCAATGGTGAAAGTATAGGGACCTTTCACAGTAACTTTGCGAGGATCACTGTTGTTTAAGCCATCCATGCCCTTGACTTCAGTGAAAGTGACAAAGTCACCATCCTCGAGTCCATGCCTTGTCTCATCGAGCGCCGAAACCAACCCTTCTTCGTTGATAGCCGCCACAATTCCACCAGCAGGCTCTTCACCGGTGGGATCACCCACAGTGAAGTTCTTTCCAAAGTCATTGAAGATATAACCAAAGAGACCGAATGTGTCTGTAATTGTAAGGTAGATGTTGTTCTTGTGGCAGAAGTCAGCAATCACCAGTTGCTCCTTCAAAGGCGTCTGTGTGAGCACCACTGCCTGGTAGTGCTTTAGTCGTTCGAGATCGCCCACGAGGCTCTGGCCCTCATGGACTGTAACGGGAACGTAGGAGTTCAACTCGGCGACTCTCGGGGCGGTAACTTCAGCACGGGGCTTGCCGACGTCCTCTGGCTGAAGGAAAAACTGCGAAGAAAGATCCGAGATAGCGACTGCTGCGGGGTCGTATAGGGTGAGGGATTTGACACCGGCGAGGGCGATGTTCTTGGCTATGGAGACAATCAGACGTCGGGATGAAATCAAGGCTTGATTAATAGTTGAATCACATACCGATTTCAACGCCCAAGCCCTTGAGACCTACAATCAGAACATTGGAAGATCCCATGCGCTTCATGGCTTCGTGACCAAGAACGTATCTCTAAGGTGTCAGCACATACTCGGGATTTGTATGTCATAAGAGGGATGCGGGGGGCTTACAGCTGTCGACTATACAATGATTCGTCGATCTCCCCATGCTTGATAGCTTCGATGGTTTCTTGGGGGTTCTCGACCTGCATCTTAATGTCCTTTGGTAAAATATATATTAGTGGCAATCTTATCTCTAAGATCAAGACTAATCATACCGTCATGGTTCTTTTCTCTGGCCGAGCTCCGACGACGTCGTGTTCAGAGGCTCTGCGCTTTCCGGGCTTAGCCGCGTCTCGAACAGGAATGTTTGTAGGAATGATGAAAGTCAGGAGGTGAAAGCCTTGCGATAGAGCAAGTCTTTCAATAGTGATGATAAATCAAGTTGCAACGCCTAGCGTACCAGGTACCTAGCTCAACGAGCACGTGGAAGAGTAGCAAAATCCGAGGGCAATCGACGGACGATAGAGGATTATGGAAGAAAAGAGAAAATGGAACACTGTGTAAGGTAGGAGGTGCGAATAAGTAAAGGACAAGTCAGTAAAGAGTATGAGAGAGATCGAGAGAGGGACCGACGTAAGAGGGGCCGACAGCTAAGAGATGACTAACGGGCGGTGAGACGACGATTTGGCCTTTAGCCCCGCGATTCTTCCATGGGAGCTATTGTTCTCGAGTCACAGAGTGTCTTGTTGAGAGTTGGAAGCTGTGATATCTACATAATATTGGGGTCGACTCTGGAGAATGAAAACCACCTCTATCTTCTCCGATTGGTTCTGAAGCCTACTATTTCATACGTCACGTTTGACGCGCCTCGGCATCAACGCGAAGCTTGGCGTCGTCAAACGCCTTATCATATGTGTCGCTTTGAATTCGTGGGGCGCGGTCTATTATACTGGCAGCGTAAGAACGGTCCAACGGAGAGAAGACATTTCCCTAGGTGAGTTATCTGCATATACGCCTGTGATGAGCTCGTGATTGATATGGATCCGATAGGGAACTCTCGTCAGAATGCTCCATGAGATCCTACTCTCCCTCTCCGGCCAGCCATCCCCCCTCTTCCGTACACAAAAGAAGGAAAATTCTGTCGCTCAAGATGACTTTCCCCTTCTTTCACCTCCGGAGAAAGCTCTCCTCGCCTCCGTTGCCCATCTAAGCCGACTCCACGCGCAGCTGCGGAAATATGCCTCCGATATATCCTCTGCGAGTCCGTCAGTTATATGCCGCTCAGTCTCCACAGCTGTTATTGGAACGCATCTAGATGAATTCCAGAAGAAGATCCTGGAGGTTGAGAGGGCAATCCTTGCCGAGGACAGCGGATATGTCGGAGGGTATGGTATTGTCCCATTGTCGACTATCGTGGGAGAGTTTGCACCATGGACGCGGCGCATGGAGTGGCTCTGGGCTGTTATCCGGTTCATTCAACCAGAAAGGAAAAACACCGAACCTTTGCATGGCTCCACGGGGGCAGCGCTCATAGATCACCTGCGGACCGAAGCTCAAACAGGATATCTCGATATCAAGGACATGGCCCTGCAATTGGCGACAACGGCTGAGACAGCATGGATGAAACAGCTTTCGATGTGGTTACTTTATGGGAATCTTCCTATCTACGGGAAGGAGGACTTTTTCATCCAAGAGGATACCGAAAAGGAGAATGACGAGGCACAATTCAACATAAACGTCCGTTTGCTCCCAAATTTTGTCACGGCACAAACAGCAGGCTCAATACTATTCATTGGTAAATCTCTCAATCATATTCGGGCGAAACGGAAAACTTCAATAGCGGGGACCTCTACTGCGCCGGTTACGTTATATCGGGAGCACATCGAGCAACTTGCAGGCCTGAAATCACCAATTTCGCCTTCAAAACTGACTACCGCCGTTGACTCCATTCGCCTTTCCCTTTCTCAATCAACCTTATCGAAATTGTTGCCCCTCCCAAAAATTCTAGAAATTCTTACTTTGCTTCACAATTTCCTTTTACTAGGACGAGGGGAGTTTGCGGTAGCTCTTGTAGCACATGCAGATTCCCGCATTGAGGAAAGCCGACGCCGAGGCCAATCAGCGACCCGTCCTTTGGGAAAACCTGACGTCCTTTCCGTCAAAGAAGGTGATGTCACAGCTGCTCTAGCTGAAGCATGGGCAGAGCTTTTCTCGCTACAAAAGGAGGAGGACCCGGCCGACGAAGAACTTGAACTTGCCCGGGACCTTCTTTCTCTGTCCATTAGTGGCCGCAAAAGTGGCCGACCGATGACGCCTGCCCAAACTCCCAACTTATTATCCAAAATCTCAAAGGTCTCATTTGAAGATCTGCTCTTCCCCACGCCGACAACCCTCACTTCACATATCCGAGCTCCTCTAGACCTGTTTATCTCGAGCTCTGATATTGTCATATATTCTAAGATTCATTCTTATCTCCTGGGAATACGGCGGGCTCAAATCCGGCTTGGGGATCTTTGGAAACGAACTCCGTTGCGGCGAAACTACCCTACGCCATGGGGACCACCCAGAAGCAACAGTATATTTGGCCAAGCAAGGCTAAAGGCAAGAAGAGATAGAGATAATGCCCGTGTTCGCCAAATGCGTCATATCTGGGCCACAGGAAGTGCATGTCTATTTATGCTTTCCGAGATCGGTGGCTTTTTCCAAGGAGATGTTGTCAATGAGTCGTGGCAGCACCTTCGCCAATGGATTGAAGGAAGCTCTTCATCTACAGCATCAGCCCCTGGGTCCCGACCTGGAACCGCATCCTCTTCTAAATCGCATCATAGTTCCAAGACAGTGTCTCCTAACCAGATTCCTATCAGAGACTTCCCCGAGTCTGGCCAACAGACCATGGGACGGCACGATCCCGAGGCTCTCACAGTTGCACACCGGCGGCACTTGTCATCGCTTGTCCAGTCCCTCTTTTTGACTGAACTACCCTTCACAAACACCATGAGAGGACTACTCACAAATATCGACCGCTTCGTCGCCCTTGTGATCCGGTTGGAAACCATCCAACGCAACATGGATCTAGAAACAGATGAAGGCGTGGAAGACGCGTTGGTGGATTATGCCCACGAAGAACGCGAGGTATGGGAAGAGCTACGTACCACTCGAAACGATGTCGAGACGGGTATTAAGAATCTCGTTGGGACCCTGCGGGACATTGACGATAGTCGCTCGGGAGAAGGCAAAGGACCCGTGGAACTAGCAACGAACTTCGGTCATATGTGGCCTGGTTCCCGCCACGTTGATGACAGCACGAGCCCCGGGTTCAGTCATTACGTGCCCCATAAAGCAGCGGGGGTAGATCGTCTGCTCATGAAACTAGATTTCGGCAGCCTTCGCAGCGGCTTCGGACACGAGACGAATGTGGGTTTCGCGGGTATGCTATAATGTTCCGAAGCGGCCCATGAACCCTAACAGGTCTTTTTTTTGTGCTTCGTTTACGAGTACCTTCCTAGCGAGGAATTGGCGTTTTTTCCCAAGGGAATCGGGTGATTGGGACGGTTGATGGGAGTCTGGACATTGCGTGTATCGTTTTTCCCCTCTCATTTCTTTGCACTATTTGTTCGTGGTGGTCTTCGCAAAGCCAAATCGAATTCGGTTCATCCATTGCCGCGAGATGAGGTCATGTGTCTGTCGGGGATCTCCATGAAAACCAGCCGCGTGAGAGAAGGAATGCGTTGCTTATTTCTTTATTAACAGAAATATCACACACATATCCCTTGACTTGTGACTCATAACTGCCCATAATTTTTTGTGGAACTTGGAGCCTTTGGATGTCTCGAAATATTCATGAAATCATATCAAGTAGGAAAATAAAATGCATTACGCTTCCAACTAGCCGTTGAAGCATTCCGTGGGCTTTTGAGTTACCCAGTCGGAACAAAATCGGGGTCCATTGCCAAGCCCCCGAAAATGCTACAAGAATATACAATCCTCTTTTGCATATCTTGGCCCATGCTATGGCTTTCGACATTTCACAAATATCAAATATCGGATGTCTGCTCTTGATCTATCCTGGATGTTGTATACTGCCGTACATCGTATACTGGAGAAGGCGGTCATTGGCTTTTCTGCCCAAAATCCCTTCACAATTGTAAACCCAAAGAAATCAAGAGCCCAACTATTCTAGATACTGTCTTTACGCCGCCAAAAAGAGTATTAGAGGCAATGAGTCAGAGCCCCATCACACTGAATATCCTAGGTAAGCGGTTTGTTGGATCTTGAGTCGAATGAGCACATGCCCAACACAATCCCAATATATCCTGTTTAATGCCCCTCCTTCTGACCGTTTGCATTTCTTATTTTCCCTGAAGGCCATCCCAAACTTCTATTTTACCATCTTCTCCTTCTTTGTGCCACACATTGTTTCCCTTGCTCTAGCTTAGCTTACCTGGTTCATCCTGTTCGTCGCTCAAAATGCCGATCCTCCGGTCTTGACACTAATAATTTATATCCAGCCATCTAGGCGACCTACGCAAATATTGAGAAGATAATGGATCGCCATGTTGTGCTAGATTGGTGAGCACTGGCTTTGCAGCTCTTGGACTTCGCTCGCTTTTACTAATGATTAAACAAAGGTACAATAACCTAGACTCTCGGGTCGTTGACCTCATCGGTGACTTTGTTGGTGACGAGCTTTTCATAATCGAAGGAGATTCGCTTCTGCTCGAATGCTTTTCCAACGACAAACTTGATTTCAACCCTGGTTTCCAGGTCTTGCATGCGACTTACCTTGCCGAGAAGTTGTTACAAAAGCTTCAACAGCGCAAGTGTTTCTTCGAGATTGTCTTTTTCGCCGAGAATGCCTCATTATGCATTCCCAAGGGAGTTCACAGAGACCTCCACGCGAGGTACCTCCTTGCCCGAGAGGCAATCATACAGCATCTTGTGTCTATTCGCGTCCAACCATCGCGATACTTCCAGGTTCTGAGGTTTGATAACTTCCAGTCCGATGAGTTTAAAGCTCATCTGATAAGTTCGGGGGCCTATTTGTTCATGTGTCACGATGGTGCTTCTTCCGAGCAAAACAAGGATGATATTGCTAGTGATATCGACAGCAGCGATTCTGAAAGTGATTCTGACAGCAGCGATCTCGAAGACGGTGACCAGAAGGGTTCTTTTGTCGATAAGCGAGGCGAGATCTCAAGGTTCAAGCTCCGCGCGATGATCTACTGGTTCGTTGTCCACGGATACAACATTGCTCTCATCAATAGTCTTGAGTTCCGTGACACCAAGGTAGGTCTTTTCAGCTGCAGAAGACTAGGCTCTGTACTCACAATATACGCAGGTCATGGCAATGGTGATTGAAAGCTCCATAAAAACGAATCCCTTATCGACTGGCCCTGAAACAGACGATCCCGATCAATTGTGGTATTCTCTCTCCCAATTGGATATTGAAGACAGCCAAGACCAAGCGGAGGATGCGCTGGACTACGGTTCCATCAAAAACGAATCCTCAAACCAGGCCCAAACAGACAACTTTCTTCAACAGGCACTTCTTGAGAAGCCCGAGCTATCGCAGCGCCAATGTCTGGTGGTTGCTACGCTTAGCTCCATGCTTTTGGGTAGCGTGACGGATAGCCTCGAAAATAAGATTGGAGCACAGTCTATGCTTTTGCACATTGTACTTTTACAAAACACGCAACTGTCGGATCGATCAATCCAAACAACAACTGTACCCAAAAACTTGAAGTTTTTGAATGAATTCGTGAAAACCGCGAATGCTTTGCTCAGCTCGAAGCTTTGGGAGAAAGAAATGAGCGACCATAACCTACCTTGCGACCTGTCTGACCTCGTGGATGGAACATTGTTCTTCGGAGTCCAGCGGATGGTCGAGAAACTCGGCATCCAAACAGTAATTTCATCGGCCACACAATCCCCGTTCAACACTCTTGCGTCTCTGGTGGACCGCATTTGTGGAACAACACTGCAATGTGAAG